TTTTAAAAAAAAATTTTTTTTATTTTTCGAATTTCCAAATGAAAACCATTAGAAATCTTAGGGGTATCGTGCAAATATCGCGTCCTCGATACCTAAACTAAAAGTTAGTGGGGTTTAGATTGAAGAAAATAAAGTTAAAAAATACACTTTTTTCTCAAGTCCTTCGTTTTTGAGTAAAAATTCTATAAGTTTTCATTTAATTTTGCTAGTTTCGACCGACATTTTTTGTGTTTAAACATTAATTTTTTCAATCGGTACCCCGCTAACTTTCAGTTTAGATATCGAGGACGCGATATTTGCACGAAACTCTTGAGATTTCAAATGGATTTCATTTGGAAATTCGAAAAATAAAAAAAATTTTTTTTTAAAAATCATTTTTTTTGGGTAAAATCAAGTGTAACTTTTGACCTGATCACTTTTTCAAAAATCTGAGATCAGATTCTGAAAGGGCACTAAATTTTACATTAGATTTAGTTACTCGCATATTTTTTTGACCCCATTTACACCAAAAATCCAGTGGCCGAATGAAGTGTTGAAAAAACGTCCTCTTGGGACTTAATGGGTTAAGGGGGGAAAGGTACCTTAAACCTAAATTTGTATAAAATTTATTAAAAATGAAGAAAAAAATTTTTTTTGGAATAAACAGAGAAAACTCTGTTTTTTTTCACTCTTTTTCAAAAGTTTTTTACTCTGGTAAATGTAAATTAAGGTCCCTGTCACCATAGAACCCTCCTCGATGAAGCAAGCCCACAGATCTGACAGGTACCCCTGTGTCGTAGGTTCCAGCTAGAACCGATGGTTCAATCATGGTCCTTGGGGTCTCATTTTGATCATTAGATGTTTGGTTACAAACGCAAGCACTTTCAGATTTTTTAATTAGTTATACACAATTTTCCAGCCACATATACACATTTATTCATCAATATATATGATAAAATGACAGATTATGCTACATCATAGCGTGAAAAAAGTGCTCATTTGTCCCAATACTTTGAAAGTGCTTGCGTTTGTAGCCATTCTCATGTAGAACAATCCCTGAAAATTTCAGCTCATTTGCTCAAACGGTTCACATGGAAAGTTACGGCAAAAAAGCAATTTTGAGATGAAACGTAACTGCCCAAGAGTTAAAAAAAACAAAAATACACCAGTTTATGTCATAATGATACTCTCATGTCACTGAGGCTACTTTAAACTTTTTGGACAATAAAAAACAGTTATTTAACTTGAATTTTCAACATATTAGACCCACAAGGACAATGTTCAATTATCCCAGAGAGATACACAGTCTCACATTAGAACATGAACTCAGTCCTCTACTTATTCACTCACATTCATAAAACATTAGATCTATAGTTGGAAAAAAATCACTCAAAATTGATCAATTATCACTAATCTTTTTCATCACATTCAACAATATACATGAATAATGTACATGATACAGTCATATACATATACATAAAGTACAGTGACATACATATACACTGATGTATGTGTTACCGGCAAAACCCGCTTTTAGGCAAAAGTGACTTTTGCCTAGGCAAAAACAAAAATGCCTAAAATTTTAGGCAAAACCCGCAATGCCTAAAAAAGTATAGGAAATTCCTAAATTTCTTAGGCAAAACCCGCAATGCCTAAGCAATTTTAGGCAAAACCCGCAATGCCTAAATAATTTTAGGCATTACTGTAAACACGTTAGTATACGACTAGTCAGCATCTAAGCCGGACGTATTTGTTAGTTTTGTCTTGGATATAACCCAATACGGATACAAGCGTATACTCTCACTAATTGAAAGAAAAAATGGAAACTGAAACCAATAATTGGAAAGAGCAGTTCCTCGCCGAGGCTAGAAAAAAAGAGCATTATAAAGTTCTTTCAATGGCAGAGATTGAAGAAATTATTAAAGACATGCTAATCGGAAAAGTCACGTCGAAAAAAATCGTCTCAGCAAATAAGACGTGCAAAACGATTCGATGTATTAGAAGTAGATGGGGTGAATCGACTTATCTCCAAGATCAAACCCGGTAATGGCATTAAGTATTATGTAGCGCTTGAAGATGTCTTTGATATCATTCAAGCCGCGCATATTGCGACCGGACATGGTGGGCGCGGTAGGCTTTTGAAAGAAACTTCGATCAAGTATGCAAACGTTACAAGAGAATTGATTGAGTTATATTTAAACATGTGTGAAGTCTGTCACCAGAAAAAAATAAAGAGAAGGAGGGGGCTGGTATTAAAGCCAATTTTGCATGCAGAAACGAATAGTAGATGCCAGGTGGACCTTATTGACTTTCATTCATCAAGTGTTGATGGGTTTAAGTGGATAATGGTATACCAGGATCACTTGACGAAATTCGTCGTTCTGAATGCATTAAAAACAAAACGCGCAGAAGAGGTACGTAAAATTATAAAAATTACAATTACGAATTGACTTGAATATTTATTTATTAATGCAGGTAGCACATCATTTAGTTCGGATATTTTTGACCTTTGGTGCCCCGTGCTTGTTGCATTCCGATAATGGAAGAGAATTCGTGAACTCTATTATCAGCGAGTTGAAAATATTGTGGCCTGAACTGATATTAGTCCACGGAAAACCTCGACACAGTCAATCACAAGGCTCTGTCGAGAGAGCAAACCAGGATATAGAAAATATGATAGTGACGTGGCTAATAGATAACAATACTAACAGATGGGTCGATGCTCTCTGAAGCATCCACTCTGGTATTAAACAATCGCCGTATAAAGCGATGTTCGGTATGGATCCGAAAATTGGCCTGGCTAGTTCTAGTCTTCCGAGTGATGTTGCTAAAAAAATACGTGATGAGGATGAGCTTTTCAATGTGATTGAGAGCATTAGACAGGATGACATTCCTGTGCATAGTACATCATTAGGAGACGAATGTACTGAGCAACTTGAACGTACACAGCTACTTGACACAGAACCAGCCGTATGTGATCAACGATGGGATGAACCGACCGCTCCTCAAAATCATAATATTATTGTATCCAGAAAAAGAGCTGCGGACGCTCTAGAACACCAGGCCAAGCGAATGAAAACAAGATCTGACAAGGCTCATACAGAAATCGAAGTAGGCGATTGTGTTATGATACCAATTTCTGATGTAGATCGAGCTAAAAGCGATTTACGCAATGTGATTGGTGTGGTTTTGGAAATAAATGACGGCCTATATAAAATCGGATCAAAACATGGGATTATCAACAAACAATTTTGCAGGTAAAACGTACTACGTCCGTCCGTAATTGCTTCATTTCATTAACTTTTTTTTTATTCGTAGATCGGAATATATATGTCAATTTACATATGTACTGCTGTATTTCTTGAATTTGAACTGCTAAAAATGTCACATTTTCATAAAAAACTATTGAAACATCATCATAGATTTATTATGAAACACTATGTCAAGTTGCAAAGATATAACTTCACTGTACATGTCCTTTTTTCACTTTCAAAAAAATGTCATTTTTAGCCATTGGAAAATCAAGAAGCAGTCAGCAGACTGTTATTGATATTTGATCCGGGCTCGCGCACGAAACAGAGAGAGACAGAAGATATGCCGAAACCCACGTGCTGCGAGTGGTGGCGTTACTGTACACCTATAGTCATGTAAACAAACAAATTTCTGCTAGATATACTCTAACCAAAGAATAAAACGAGTACCAATAGATGGCGCTACCGACTTATGAAAGTCTCGAGATTCATGAGAGAATGACAACGATATACCTTTGAGTTGTTTCATTCATTTTTTCTAAATAATCGTAAAAGTAACGGGGCTAAATAGGCTGTACATCACGATACAGTTAAAATTTTAAAATTCCGATCACGGCACTGGGAAGCCGAGGAAAAATCCTATCAAAAAATTCAATAAAAAAAAATTTTTTTTGGAGATTTTAGGTACCTTTCCCCCCTTAATTCGGAGCAACTTCGCAATACAAAAATGATACATTACGGGTGCGCAACGGCGCGATGACCAGCGAGGTCTAAAATTTAAATCGCAACGGTGTTATAAAAATAAAGTGTGTTTTTCTTTTGATGCGCAACGACGCGGTGACCAGCGTGGTCCTAAAAACTAAAACGCAACAGTGTTATCAAAATAAAGTATGTTATACTTTATTACAACGGCGTTACAGAAATAAAGTATGTTTTTGAACAAAGCGTGACAGCGTAATACCAGGAACTTCTTACTCAGAATTAAATACCATGCCTTCTTCTACTTCGTCCTCGTTGAGAAGGACGACGAGCGCGCAGAGTTCACATTTTTTCCCTGGTCGTCTGCTGCGCCCAACGGTCTGGCCACAGAAAGGGCAGTGGGTTAAATGGTCGTCCAAGGCCCCTGTTAGCCCTACGAGATGGAGGATGACTTCCTGGGCCCCGTGGCTACTTGTCAACCGGCCACAGCACGATGAAACCCAGCTGCCGTCGTCGTACCGGAAGTACCGAACTACGACGTGCTCACATCTCCGCAGGAGCCCTGTGCGCACTGGGTGTCCCATGAGGGTCCGCTCATAGTTGTCTCTGCTCTCTTCGGACACGAGGTCGTCGCATACGCCAGCTGGTTCCTCGCCTTCTTGCGGAGTCAGCGGGAAGGCGCGTAAGAAATTGACGGCCCGGTGGTCTTCCCATTCTTCGTCGTCACCCTCGTCTTCCTCGCGACCGGCGGCTGCTCCATCCCCCTCGTCGGACTCAACGACGGCGGCGGCTTCTCCTTCGTCCTCGTCGTCTGTTTCCATAGCTTCGTAGTGTAGCGGCGACACTGCCCTGTCGTACCAGTCGGGGCTGTTCAGGCACCTCAGGTACGGTCCTGAACGCGCCACTGGTTCGTCCGTCTCGTCGTCGGTTTGAGATGGTGAGGGTGATCCTGGCGTCGGAGTGCTGGGTGGAGTGAATCTCTACACGACTCGTTCTCGTTGAAATTCGGATATTGCAGCAGTGGCGCAGCGCTCAGTAACCGTTTGAATGTTTCGAAAGCAGCTTCTTGTTCCTCCTTCCACGCGAACGGTTGGCCCTTTTTTAATAGCAAGCTTTTTTAATGGCTTCGCTATCCTTGCGTAGTCGGGTATAAATTTGCGGTAATACCCGGCTAGTCCTAGTAGTTGTTTAATGTTTTTTCTCGTCTTCGGACGTGGGAATCTCGTCACCGCGACTACCTTTCCCGGGTCAGGTCTCACCTCTTCTTCCGATATGATGTGTCCGAGGAATGTCGCTTTTTTCGAAGGAAGAAGCACTTGTCCAGTCGCACGGTGAGATTGGCTGTTCTTAGTCGTCCGAACAGCTTATTCATTTTCTCCTTGTGCTCGCTGAGCGATGACGCGTAGACTACGATGTCATCCATATATATGAATAATTCGACCCCTTGCAGTCCCGTCAGTACCTTGTTCATAAGGGCTTATGTGGCTCGCCTGCGTTACTGATGTGGGAAGAAGGGGGGGGGGGAGGAGCGCCACCAACGGCCAAATTATTCTTAAAAGATCGTTCTTTGAAGTTTCACTTCTGGTTGCAATTTTTACTGGATAACTAATTTCCGCGAAATAATAAATCGAATTTAAATTGATGCGTAAATTAACATCATCATAAATATTTTTATTTCTTAAAGTTTTCTTCTTACAATACTAAATAACAAATATTTATAACATAATATGAACGATATTTAATTTTTTTATTTTAAATTATTGTTTCTAAACTCTGCGGAGGAATATTTACGCCAAACGTGTTGTGGGTGGTATATTTGTTGAGTACGTTGATGTTCCTTCAAATATGGACTCAACCCAGTTGGCTGGCTGTGTGATCTAGTGGGTTCTAACAGTAGACTTGAAACTTCTTCCCATTTAAAATTCGAGCTAAAATAGTTTTTTCCTGTTTTATTCTGTTTCTCCTGAACAAATCTGAAAATTGAAAATATAATTAAAATATATAATTAGCCGTTTGAACTATATTACTTTAAGGCATAGGGAAAATCATTAAAAAATCTTCATTATGGTCTCAAATAGAAATGTGAAGTAAGATTCCATAATAAACGTTAGGAATAAATCATGTGTTTGAACCGCACCAAATTTAAGTCTTTAATTATTTCAAAAAAAGAAAGAATAATAATATTAAATTTCTTGCTATATTTCTAAGGATTTTTTATTCAATTCATAGTAATTTACAAATTAAAGTAAAATTCTCAAGATACTGAAATCGAAGCCAATGAATCCTCCTTATTCTGAAAATATAAAATTGTCCCCAGCACTGATTGTTTTGGTCATCAGTGCAATGGACTGATACTTTGACGAAGCTCGGGATCTCGAGTCTAGATTCAATGCCCCCAAGCGAAAGGAGGGTCTAAACCAGCATTCTCTATGATGGTAACTTGACTGTGGTAGTGTATGGCAGGTTTCGATTATAAATAATACCGGTATAATAAGCTTGTGAACAGTTTGAATAGCGGCCTCTTTTTATAATTGGACAAGGAACAATCTTAATAAGATCCCAAATATTTCATTAAGCTCTAGCTCTATTTTTTGTAATAGAAGGCCAAAAACGATTAAACCTTTTTTCTGACTTTGCTGTGATGGGAAGGATTAAATGAATTGATCGGACAAAAATCTTAGTTTAGTAGAAAAGTATTATTTATTAAATTGCTAGATATAAGTACATATGATACAGTGTTAATTGCTATAATGGATGACCGAAGTCGGAAACAATATTTGTTCTTTATAATGTTAAAATTATTCACACCAGCGATCTCCAATCTATTTTCTGATAGATTTATTTATCGGACTCGCCGAGTGTGAATGCGGTTGCGCTTGGTTTTTAACAAGCCGAACTGCTACCAAATAGCCGGCTAGCAGCAGAAAGCATCGGTTGCTCAAGTGATCGCGAGCTAAGAGTTGCCCCCTTCAACGATCAGCTCTCGAAATCGTCAGCGCGCTAGAAGATGGATCTTCCTCAGCCGACAACTCCTCGAGCTTCGCAGCGCGCTGGAAGACAAGTCCTCCTCAGCCGCGAAACTTGAGCGTGCAGTGCAAACTGCCACTAGCATTCGCTAGAAATCAAAAATTACTGCTGACGCTAGGCTCCTTTAAGCGGCTAACTCGCCTTTTCTTAGCGTGCGAGCGATGATCGGCGTCGTCGCCACCTAGCGGTGACGAATCGAAACAAGCTCAGTGTAAAATAACTCAAAAGTAAAAGTTCATAAGAGTTTTTTTTGTTGTAAATCATCCGAATTTTTAGAAAAAATGAGTCCTGAAGTGATCTGAGTACTCTGGAGGCTTCTACAATAGAAATAATCAATAAAAAACAAAAAACACTTAATCTAATCAAGTAAGATTCGGACTTTCCTTTACAAGACCATTTAAGAAGCTTTCTAAGCATGTCAACTACTCCCTAGTAAATTTTTATTATGATTTGAGCACTATTACGCTCTGGAGACACCAATATGTCTCGAAAAAGTGCAAAAAAAACCCTAAAGCAGAGTATAGCCTTAGATCTTAACATGTTACACATGCTAGGCAAACTTAAACCTCAAAATAAACTATATCAACTTAAATAACCCAAAATTACCTTTAAGTTTGTGTATTTAAAAACTCCTGTAGAACCAAAGCTACAGCTATTCGAAGTTTTACTGAGAATTCAAGTATCATGTCAACTGGTTTATGAAAATGTATACAGGAGTCCCTCGTTATACGCGGGGGTTACGTTCCTCAAAAGTACCGCGTATAACAAAACCGCGGATAATAAGACCTTACTCTTATGGGAAAGAGAGGGTTACGTTCCTCAACCTCGAGAAAGCACAGTTTATATGTACATTTTACCTACAAATAAACGTATTTGTTGAGTAGTTTATCTATTTATATATGGGTCAAAATAATACTTTTTTACAAAACCGTGCGCACGTATGTCACCGATCTTGACGCGCTTTTGGTATGTTATAGTACATGGTAAAAAGGTCCCAAAAAAAAATTTTTAGACCCCCTCCCCCCTCCTACCCCCCACTTCCGGTATAAACGTCCATTTTCGATCTATATTTTTTCTGAGGACATGAAGCAAGTAAAAAATCTGAAAAAATTCATAAAAATACTTTTCCACAATCCAAACAACCTTGAATTTTTTCAGATTTTTTGAGTGCTTCAGGCCTTCAGATAAAATCATTGAAAATTTCAAAAATCGAGATACGGCGGTATGAGCCGATGTAGTACTCGGAAATTTTTTCAGTTATTTTTCGCATTAAAAAACATAACCTCAATTTTTTTCAGATTTTTTCAGATTACCTAACGCACCTTTTGAAGCCAAAAACCGATTTTTTTGACGAAAATAATTTTTTTAGGACAGTACGGAGCCTCGAAAAATCTGAAAAAAATTTTTTCTTGTTTTTTTCATCAAAATACGTAATCTCAAATTTTTTCAGATTTTTTAATTGAAGGCGATAGCTTCTAGGGCCGAAAAATGCTATTTTTAACAAAAAATGGTTCCTAGAACCCGATGGTTCCGGTGAAAAAATTTGAAAAAATTTTTTTTGAATTCCTTGTCAAATTTTAATAAATTTTGACCGTTTCAAAAGTTCGATTGAAGCCTCCTAGCTCAATCTAGAGCATCAAAATAGTTTCATCATTTCTTAATGTGTCTTCAGAAACGTCTTCAGAATTTTGCATTAATCTTTGTCCTGCTCTAGATTGAGCTAGGAGGCTTCAATCGAACTTTTGAAACGGTCAAAATTTATTAAAATTTGACAAGGAATTCAAAAAAATTTTTTTCAAATTTTTTTACCGGAACCATCGGGTTCCAGGAACCTTTTTTTGTTAAAAATAGCATTATTCGGCCCTAGAAACTATCGCCTTCAATTAAAAAATCTGAAAAAATTTGAGGTTATGTATTTTGATGAAAAAAACAAGAAAAAATTTTTTCCAGATTTTTCGAGGCTCCGTATCGTCCTAAAAAAATTATTTTCGTCAAAAAAAGCGGTTTTTTGCTTTAAAAGGTGCGTTAGGTCATCTGAAAAAATCTGAAAAAAATTGAGGTTATGTTTTTCAATGCAATAAAAAACTGAAAAAATTTCCGTTTACTATATCGGCTTATATCGCCGTATCTCGATTTTTAAAATTTTCAATCATTTTTTCTGAAGGCCTGAAGCACTTAAAAATTCTGAAAAAATTCAAGGTGGTTTGGATTATTGAAAAGTATTTTTGTGAATTTTTTTAGATTTTTTAATTGCTTCATGTCCTCAGAAAAAATATAGATCGAAAATGGACGTTCATACCGGAAGTGGGGGGTAGGAGGGGGGAGGGGGTCTAAAAATTTTTTTTTGGGACCTTTTTACCATGTACTATAACATACCAAAAGCGCGTCAAGATCGGTGACATACGTGCGCACGGTTTTGTAAAAAAGTATTATTTTGACCCATATGTTTATTTATATTTACAACACATATATGCAATTCTATGTTTAATTTTTAAAGTAATCGGTTAATTTTTTCTGCTTTGTTCGTCTCAAAATATCTTTGTGTATTTCTTCATAAATTTATGCAGCTAAATCACAGTAGTGTTTGAAAGTCGAGCTACGTGTCATTATTGGATCATCAGTCATTGCTAATTCACCTGCTCGAATAACTAGATCCATAACTTCGACAATCAGTTTTGAATCAAAAATCGGTTCAGGTGCATCATCAGTCTGATCTGCCAGTGGTTTTTGAGGCATTTTTCGACGGAGTTTTAGATGAAGCCATACTTAAATAAATTTATAAATTTTCAACAAATTTAGGTTAATTGACAATTTCGATTTACGCGTCTACACTAACCAAATTCAAACTGAATATAGATACGTCCGAGAAAAAAATCACGATCTTCGATCCGCGGATAACAAGACTCGACCCGCGGATACGAAGGGATGGGCGCAAATCGACTAACCGCGGATAACGAATTCCCCGGATAATAAACCCGCGTATAACGAGGGACTCCTGTATTTCTATTGTAGAAGCCTCCAGAGTGCTCAGATCGCTCCAGGACCCATTTTTTCTGAAAATTCGGACGATTTCCAACAAAAAAGTTCCGATGCACTTTTACTTTTGAGTCATTCTACACTGAGCTAGAGCTTAATGAAATATTTGCGATCTTAGATAAATTACGAAAAAATGCCAACTTTGGAATTATGGAAAAGGTTGATAGAAGGCTCAAATCGTTCTATAAATTTTTTTGTACATTCCTGACATCCCAAACAATGTGTTCATCATAGTAGATATAGAAAAAAAATGTTGACCGGTTGAGTTGACAGAGAATCGGCCATATATAAGAAAAGTACCCTATAGCACTTAAGCGGAGCAGAATTTGTAAAAAATGCTTGCTTACCTTCCAAGAGCTTAAATATGACCTTTAGTGCTAATAATATACTAATTTCTTGAAATTTCTAGTATTTTCACATGTACATTGCGTTATATACACCAAATATTGCTTCACTCAGGGAAAGAGGGCTTTTCCAATGAGTTTGATTCCCCAAAAATCAAAATTGATAAAGAACTCGCTTCAGGATCATGTAGGCAGTGAATTTGTATCATAATATTCAATATTATGAAAAAAGTAGTATAAATGAGACATTTGAGTTTGGATAAGAGATTTTTTTGGTCGATTAGGTGTAGTATGAATATATTTTACCATCATAATAAAAAAATACAGTCATATGCGCATGCGAGAGTGAAAGAGTAAAAGATACGCGTGGCAAGTCTCGCCAGCAACATAAAACAGTCATCGAGTTCAATGTAGCTAGCGCGGCAGCCAATAGCAGCGAACAACAATGTTGTTCGAGAAATATTCGAACAAGGCACAAGCGCAAGACTTGTACACACACACACGTTCACGTGTATGCAAGCCTGCGCGTGACTCCCACTGCGAAGCAAGAGATGGCGTTGCTGCGCGGCACGTGCCGACGGCATCTCTGCTATCTGAGCATTGTTCGCGAGCTCCTTCTTCTCGTTTTTGTACTCGGCAAATAAGCACCTCGCGTGTGTCTCGTGCGACGACTATTTTTCACCTGCAACAAAATCCCGACGTCATCTCAACCAACGCTACTTCGAGCATCATTACCAAGAACTTCTCACCAACTCGACTGCTCCAGTTAAATCAACAAGCGCCAAGCAGTGCAACAAGGACTCATCAAGTACATTTCATCAACACACTCATCAAGGCTCGACTCAACGGTCTGCGAATCGGAGTCAACTCATCGATTGCGACCAGGTAAAGATACCATACAGGCTGCAATTGAAGACCAACAATGTCTACTGCAGGCTTGGTGGAATCTTTTTGTCATCACCTCAACTCTCGGGATTATTTTAGCGCATCTCAATTGCACGAGCACTGAGCACATGTGCAATCTCACGTGCTCTCGGTCAACTCATCCGGCTGATCACACATGCAACCGAGAGGATTAATGTAACCTCTCTCGTTATGCTCCGGTCTGCTCACAATCAAGTTCAACTTGCTGTGAACTCAAGAGAAGTGTTTCACGTCTCAAGTGCAACAACTCGCAGAAGACAAGTGTAAATTAATGTAATCTAGCTTCGCGTCTACTGCTCATATCATTGTACCGACTCTTGACAACTCATCGTGTAGTATAAATACTATCAGTGTACAAGACTTCTTTGTTTTTATCAATAACTTTCTCAACTATAGACTCAGTTTAATTTAATTAATAGTGTTTTTTGAGTGATAATAAAGAAAGCAGTGAAAATGAAATTTATGAGATTCATGCAGGGTTTTTCTTTTGAGACCTGATTATGCACCCATCCTTTACATAATGAATTATTTAAACAATTCCTGAACAAAAGTTGTACCCCCTTAACTGAAATTCTTAAGACTTATAATTTTCTGTACTTAGCTTGTTTGGATTCTGTAAGGACTATAGCACTCAGACAGCTTTGATAAGAACAGCGGAGGACATTGAAAGGAGCATTGATAGCGTCAGGATTACAATTCCATTGCTGTTGGATTTTAAGAGTGCATTTTAGATGCTTAGAGAGCTGAAATGATGTTACGAACTAATATTTTAATGCTCATTTCAATGTTCATATAAATGTAAATAGTTGAAATTTAATTTTTCTTGTTTGTAAAATATGTTCATTATACATCTGACGGACCAAAAATACTTCTACTTTAGCCCTTTCTACTCTAATTCTTAATACATGAGTTTTTTTTTTAAATATTAAATATTGTGTTATTTATCACTTGCTGCATGATTGTGAAACGAGTTCTTCATCAATTTTGAACGGTGGGCTCTTAAAATCATCAAAAAAGTACCCTCTTCTACCTTAGTAGAGCAGAATTTGGAAGAATTTTATGTAACTTAATGTACGCGTCAAAATACGATACATTTAGAAAAAATCAATATTTTATCGACGCTAATAATCGAGTGTCCTAACGGGGCGGCCACACAGCACTTTAGGGCAAAATTGTTTAATTGCTAACTCGCCAAAAACCCCCCTGCACATACTTAAAAACAATATGTGATATACATTATCGATAGGAAATTTCTCAGCTTCCTGATGGTGTACCCTTGCGTCGCGGAAAGAACTGTGCTAAAACAGCGGCCATGCACCGAAGAGTCATGTTTTTACACATTCATCGGTGTATTTCAACTAGCTTTCGATGTAGAATATTTTAAAAAATCTTGAAAAGAGCTTTTTAACCCGTCTAATACCAAGAGACCCTATTTTTGACTTATTTCTGCACGCGTTATTTTTTCATGAAAACATAGTCAAATTGATGTGAAAATACCATATTTTATGGGATTTTTATCGCTCTTTTCAAATCTGGCGTCAGATTTATGATATATGCAACCGTTTTAAAAATACATTTGTTTAAACAAAAAAACGTGGTTTTTGAACATTTTTTCTCAAAATGGTCGTTTTTTTCACCACGATTACGAATTCGGATCGGCTTGAAAATCTGGATCTGGTGGCATACAGGCCTAAACTAAAATTTAGCGGCGTTGGTTCATTCAAATTCAAGATGGCAGCCACCAAAACAGCTGATTGTAGCCGAAAATGTAAAAAAAGCTTTGGTATTTTTTTATTCGGTAAGAATGGACTCTACGAAAAAATTTTATAGGTCAAAAAGTGCATAGAAGTGATCTAAAAACACGTGTGAATTTTTTCAGAATTTTTCGGATGATTTTGGAAATTTTTGGATATGGTTATTTTATAAAAATTTCCAAAATTACCGAAAAATTCTGAAAAAATTTACACGTGTTCTTTGATCAATTCTAAGCACTTTTTGTTCTATAAAATTTTTTCATACAGTCCATTTTTATCCAGAAAAAAATATACACTACAGGACGCTACTGTACAAGTTATAATGCTTTGGCGTTTTTTACTCAGTAAGAATGGACTGTACGAAAAAATTTTATAGAACAAAAAGTGCTTAGAATTGATCAAAGAACACGTGTAAATTTTTTCAGAATTTTTCGGATGATTTTGGAAATTTTCATAAAATAACCATATCCGAAATTTTTCAAAATCATCCGAAAAATTCTGAAAAAATTTACACGTGTTTTTTGATCACTTCTAAGCACTTTTTGTCTTATAAAATTTTTTCGTAGAGTCCATTCTTACCGAATGAAAAAATACCGAAGCTTTTTTTTACATTTTCGGCTACAATCAGCTGTTTTGGAGGCTGCCTTCTTGAATCTGGATGAACCAACGCCGCTAACTTTTAGCTTAGGCCTGTATGCCACTGTATGGTGAAAAAAACGATCATTTGGAAAAAAATGTTCAAAAACCACGTTTTTTTTGTTTAAACAAATGTATTTTTAAAACGGTTGCATATAACGTAAATTTGACGCCAGATTTGAAAAAAGCGATAAAAATCCCATAAAATATGATATTTTCACATTAATTTGACTATGTTTTCATGAAAAAATAACGCATGGTGAAATAAGTCAAAAATCAGGTCTCTTGGTATTAGACGGGTTAAGATATTTAATGTTGAAAGATTATTTTTGAAATTTCTCGGGAAAAATTTAATTTTTCGGAAAATCCAAGTACACCAAAGAGCCGAGAAAATTTTTCATTGAAAAAGGTACGGTTTTTGGCGAGTTAAAGATTAAACAATTTCACCTAAAAGTGCCATGCAAAGGTAAGGTCGACTATGGATCTTTTCTGGGGACGAAAAATGGTTGTTGCTGCACCGGCGTGGAGCTACATGATGCTAAGGGAAAAGAAAACATCTGGTACGATCTCACTCAAAGGTTTAGTCTCTCTACTATTGAGACTAATCTTTGATCAAGTATTAAATTCGCCAGCTATCACAAATGGTCTTTTTTCTCAAATAATGCTCATCAGCAGGTTGGTGAATTTGACTTAGATTTTCGCAACAGAGGTAATATAGGTTTGTCATTTTTTCTACGGCAAACTTTCTATTTGTCTGAAGAATTTTAATGTTAAGATAATATCCTTAGCTAATAAATCAATAAGTACGGTTAATATAATACTTGAAAAATACCGAACAGATTTTATGGAAAAAACAGGGGTGGTATACGTTGTGATGCCGTGGCGTCTGAAGAGCCGTTGTAGATTCGCATACATGTGTCGATTGGATTTATTATTGTAAGAATAATATATCTGATTGATATATTGGCTAGTGATATTATGTGGTCATCTCACTCTTACTTATCAATGGATTAGAGAGAAGGAACTATCAGTTGAATCAGTAAGAAGAGTGAAAGCAGAAGAAAATCAACTGTAGGATGACAGTTGAAACGGGAGGTAAATTCTCGCTGGTAGCTAGCGATACTTTTTGGAAGTCATATGTCAGTTTTGTGGGTGAATAACAAATATTGTTTTATTTTATTATAAAACATTTTTGTAATTCACAGTAGAACGAGATTGACTGTCAGTTGTCAGTTTGTTGCAATTTTTACGACCTGCGTAACACAGTAATCCTGAATAGTATATCAGGGAAGGTGGTTTTGCCGTCTAGTAGATGGTTGAAATATCTTAAAGGGTAAAAAAGAGTTTTTTCCTATTATAATCAAAAAAATTTTATAATCGCTTTTGTCTCTTTAAATAATTTTCGATGACCAGTTCTTTCAATGTAGAATTAATTTTATATAATTTTTGGTTATAATAGTATCCAAATTCATACCGTAAACAAGGTTAGCAGAAAATTTCATAATTCATTTTAAATTATAAATCTTTATGAAAAGTATTACCTTGAAGACAAGTTTTGACGACTGTTTTGTTTAGCTATGATATTATACTTAAACAAAGAGCCCTTATGATTCTTGCTTGCAATAACTCTTTTTGCACCTTTTTCTGTAAATTCATTAGGCTTTGATTTATTCACGGAAATGAAATCATAAACTGCTCCATCTGCAAAGTTTTTCGACATCGATTCCAAATTGAGGCTTTCTTTCGACGATTGAAGAGATTGCTGCAAGAGTCTCATAATCATTCTCATATCTCTGCTGAGTGTTTTTTCTAAAGAATTTAATCTTTTTTCGAGAATTTCCATTTTACAGTCTACTTTTTTATCATCAGTATCACTTATTTCGTCTGGAATATAATATTCTAATTAAAATTGTAAGGTTTTACTATCAGTAGTAGTGATCAGTAAAGCAAAATCAAAAATCTGATTTTTCCAGGAAAAATCACACGGTAATCTTGAACACAATCTCAACACTACAGTGAACCCAAAATCGCTTTTTTAAATAAAAATTTTCATTTTTAGTTTAAATTTAAACAAATTAAAAACGTTTTAATTTGTGTATGTGTTTTAGCCCTTATAAAAATTTCCTATAGAATCTCGCGAAATTCCTACAGGAGTCCTATAGGATTCCAATAGGAATTTCGCGGGATCCTATTGGAAATTTTTATAAGGGAGGGGTTTAAGATTAATTGAAGGATGAAATAGTTTCCAACACAACGCTAATTTTAGCTTAAATTTTTCAATGGAAACTCGTAATTTTTTTTCGTTCGGTGTACAATAATTAAACTAATAAATATGACGATTGAACATGGAAAATCATCGTTAAGATGCTTCGATTCAATTAGGTATAATAAACTAATTTTTCGCGAGTTTTCCAGGAGAATTCGTATTAGTTTCCAACAATCGTAGTTTTAAATAAAAAATTATCCTGCATTTAGGCCTCGCCTCTGTAGGTATCAATTCAAAAAGGTGCAACGTCCACTACTGAAATGATCTTAATGAATGAATTGATATTTCGGGCGCGTAAAGGTAAAATTAAAATAGAAATCTAAAATCAAACAAGTAAAAAGTAAAAAAAAAACAACTAAAAACTAGAAAATCAAGAAAAAGAAAAGTCAGAAAATATCAGCACAAGCATCGATGTTTCACATCTGGTGCATAATCAACAAGTGCTTACTCTTAAAATCGTTCCTTCTCATTGAGTTAAGTAATCAGAGTAATTTCTTGAGCATTAAAGTACCAGATGCGAAACATCGATGCTTGTGCTGATATTTTCTTTCTGACTTTTCTTTTTCTTGATTTTCTAGTTTTTAGTTTTTTTTCGACTTTTACTTGTTTGATTCGTGTGTTTTTTGTTTTTTTTATCTTTTACTTGGAGTTCTGGAGTTCGTACTCCAGAATCCAATGATGTGTTACTTTTTAGCGTGGGTGCATGATAACAAAAGTTATTAACAATATTATCAATACGACCCATTCGCGTCTTATTCCGATTGAATCGAATGTTAAAATTTCATCAGATTTACTCATATTGTAATTGGATTGGTCGATGCGTCAGTGGTTAGCATTCTAGTCAAGGAAACATCACCGCTCAAGGGATAGTAGGTTCGATTCCAGGCCAGTACATTTTCGGACTTTTCCGAAAAGGTGTTCGGCGGAAAGAGTACCTACAGGCTCCACTGTATCGGGGCGGGTTTTTCCCTAAAGGTGTACCTCCACTGCGAATCCACTGGTACACCGTACACTGGTACAAGGTTTTTCCTTGACCCTCAGACCCCCGGATCTGGACAAATGCGAGACAGTTGTGAAGATTAATAGGCCTAACCAACAGGTTGGCCAGACTTTAAGATATCGTATCTGTATGATAAATAAGAGTTAAACGATTTCAATAAGGGTAACCCTCCTTGACTGCCATTTTATTTTTCAACTCTAACTATAAACCCGCAAGGAGGTACCATGCATAAAAAATCAGACTTTAAGACTTTCTGAAGGGGACGGCCTGGTACCATACACAAAAAAAATATTGTTATTGATTCGTTATGTATTCTTCAACAATAAAAGTGTAAAAGATTGCAGTTCAAACTGTTAAAAAAATTAAATGCTTCAAATGTTTAGCTTTACGTAATTTTAGAGTGATTAGAGTGAAAAAAGAAAATTAGTGACAAGGTAACGAGTTCTACTCTAGTAGTGTTTTAACTAATCCAAAAGTTATTTATTTTATTCTCAAACAAATTATAAAAAATGTTCGAAAAATTTAAACTGAAATAATAATAACCATAAAAATAAAAAAAGAATATTCGCATGTTCAATTTTTTGCTCTTTTCAAATCTGCAAAAATATATTTAAAAAGTCAACTTTTGGTTCATTGTAGCTTTGGAGTTATAATTCAGATTATCATTTGATTTTTTGTCGAAAAATAGATTTAACATAGCTTGATTTTTCAACGTTTATTACACGAGATTTTGAAGTAATTTCAATGTAAGTAAGAATAATTAGAACTCACCTCTTCCTTCTTGTTTCGTTTCATTATTGAGTGGATCGCAAATTTGGGCGAGTATTGTGTTAGTTTTTCGTATATTTCCATCTGATAACGTATTTTTTAAACTAGTCCTAAAAATAAAAAATTACATATTAATGAAAATACCACTCAACATAATATATATTACGGTGGTGTAAGTTAATGCAAATGTTGATAAAATCATTATCAATTTGAGATGTGCGAGGGTTTGGGCCTTAGTTAATGCTCGCCCTACAGTCCTATTATTTCTACACAGAGGCTTCGGGTAGCCTATTCTTGAGTCTTATCTCAGAAGGGGTCGAGCCGCTACTAAGTGCGCCGCGAGCTTTGGCAGTCCAAGGCTGGAAATAAATGAGAGGGACGAGGAAGAACTACTTGAAAATGTACTTTTGCACACTTATACTCTTTTCTTTATTTACTCCAACTCTTCCACTATCACTCATACAAGCTTCTCATTCAACTCTCGCTTGCTCTTCATTTTAATACGTCGCATTATTTCTCGTCATTATAATCGTATAGTGCGCTCGGACATTCATCAATTTTAAGCGAGTCCAATGGGTAAATGCGCAAATTACAACGCTAGCCCGATGAGCGTCCCAATTCAGTCCCTCGTAATTGCACTGCTCGCAATCGGCTCGTTTCTCCAAAATACAGTCTACGTGCCGTAAGCTGCTCACGCTAGCAGCCGCGCGACTTAGTTACACACGACCAATGTAAACGCGCGATCTCGCTTGCTCTTGTACATACGAGCATCCAAGGAGGAAATGACCAACTCGCAAGATGGCCACGCACAGGCCTGAAACGCGACACACGGACTCGAACCACGCATGCCTTGAAATGTCTAAAGTGCTCGCTACGATAATTATCCTTCAATTTTCAACGATCAACAAAATACAACTATTCAATTGCGCGAAAAATTTGTATTTTCCACGCGCATACATCAACACCCTTGTAAAAATTTCCTATAGGACCCCGCGAACTTCCTACTAGAATCCTACAGGACTCCTGGAGCAGAGGACAGCATTAGTGATGATTGAGCGGAGTGGGATAGAAGGGCCACAAGTGAGCGCTGGACTGATCACTCTGTGTTGGCACGTGTGACTGGAGGGTCGATTATCCAATCCCCGCGATACCGAGTGTGAGCTGTTCTTAGAGAGGATTTGGCTGGCCTGACTCTGTTCGCACTGTGTTCGATCTGGATTTGGCCCAACTACTCAACTATTACAAGAATCTAATTGTAAATCACTGTTGCTTTATCGCTACGCATTGTGCCACTTTAAAATATAATTATTCGGCTCTATCTCTCTCGATTATCACCTGCATCTTGCCACACGGCCTTTTACTCGACTGCCGAGTGTTACCCGAAGCCGTGTGCAGGGTACACCAACACTACCAAATTTCGCTTCGACACTACACTACGACCCTGCTCGCTCTTACTCACACTCGGGTCCCTCCGCCGCGCTCGGGTGAAGCGCGCTGGGCGTCGCCGAGGAGATGAGGTGCACGAGACCAACTGGGTGGTCTGTGCTTCGCCACTCAGCTAACCACGCGAGCTGCACGCTGCACGGTCAAAGTCCAGCGCGTGCGCTAGCCTACCATTACGTCGCCATTCAGCTAATTCTTCACACACTCTGGGTAGAATGGTGCAGCTCTTACAAGCGCACCAGATCGACCCTTGATCAACTCAACACTCAATCTGAACACACAATCACGCGAGTAAACTCAAGCGTACAACACACTCACACAATATACAATACCAATCCCTTACGCTTACTAACTGTCGTCGCTGTTGGTTGAGATGTTCTCTCTTGAGCTGCTAGGACTCGAATGTCGATCAGCGCGCTCGATCTCAGCGCTCTCTCGTCGCTCGTGATCGCTCGCTGCTGCTCGCCACTGCTTGCACCGCCGAGCTCGCAAACCGACGCTCCTGACTCACTTCGACGTGATCGGAGCTCAACCGCTGCGCACAAGCCGGCGCGCCTCGCGGCGCAGCTTGGCTCGCTCGCTCTTTCTCGCACTCACAGCATGCATTGCCAGCGCGCCCAAGTTGCAGCTGGCTCATGCACACACACACATACCAGCAAAACTCGCGTGCTCCAAGCCGCAGCGAGTTCGCACACACACACACACACGCCTCCTTCTGGCGCGCTAAGAGCTGCAGCCAACATCGATGAGGCTACGACGCGGCCACCGCGTCGCAATCTAAGCCCTGTTCCTACGACCCGTCGTCGTCTACGTATAAACTAGCTGAGATGACACGAAGCCGCTATTAAAGGCTGTAAATGTTATTGATCAGAACCAGCGATATAATATAGAATTCATTTGGCTTATTTGTATGCAAATTATAGTTGTCCAACTATTCAGGCATCACATCTGTGACTATGGCGTTCTTTCAATGAAACCTAATTATTGTTCTCTTAAACGATTGTATAACAGTGATTCATATTCGGCAGTCCTTTTCCCGTTTAGAGATATTGCCGACGTCGTCCCTAATGGACATACCCTACTCGAGCTATAACCCATTACACACTTATTCTATGTAAAATGAAGGAAAGATTATTACTTTTAAGCACTCACCTTGCATTGAAAATATTATCAAAAGTGATATGATATAAATTGGATGACTTCCTTGGTTGAATGTAAGAAGTGATTTTCGAATTTTTCCTACTTCTGTACTCATAATCATTCACATAATCAGGTCGAAATGGTCGCAAAAAAGGATTAACACCATCTTGTTCTTCCTACAAAATATAAAGTTTAAAAAATATTGTTGAATTTAGATAAAAAAGTTTTATAAAACAATGTACAGTGGAAATAATATAATTCGAACTCATATAATTCGAATAATCGCATGATTCAAAGTGATCGCCCAGTCACGCTTTATATAACCATGTAAAAAACTGTCACATAATTCGAAGGAACTATCATTTGAATCGAATTTTTTGATAAATATAAATTTAGTCATAGAAATATGCTGAATAAGTATGTATCGATGTTCATTTAGCTAATAGCAGATGTTTCATTTGTCAATACATTTTTACAAATATAATTCCAAGTATCTCATACATGAGTAAATCGCTTAAAATGTTAACATTTTATTCAACCCTAATAAGACGCGAACAGGTCGTGTTAATATTGTTTGTAACTTTTTTTATCATGCACATCATTGGATTATGGAGCACAAACTCTACCTGTCCTGGAAAATCAGGCCGATTGGTGATGTAGCCTTTTCGGTATATAGAATTGCGTAATGACTTTTTTTTTAAAATGGGTGTTTTACAAATTCAGAGATTTTCTGTAATATCCTATATACCTAAAAGGCTCCATAACAAATAGACCCGACTTTATCAGGAAAGGTAGGGTTTGTGCCCCAAAATCCAATGGTACTTTACTTTTTAGGGTACGTGCACGTTAAAAGAAGGCCTAATTTTTAAGATCCAAACAAACTTTTTGAGTAACCTATACAAAATCTTGAAATTTTATCTGGAAAATAGAACATTTTGAGTAAAGCTCAAAAACAAAATAAAGAATCTGTATCAAATCCATGCGGGCGTTCCGCAAGGAAGTGTTCTGGGGCCATCGTTGTACCTTCTCTACACGGCGGATTTACGTACAATACCCGAGGCGGTAACTGCCACTTATGCTAATGACACAGCTATTCTTGCACCAAGCATAAACCCGCATGCTGCCTATGTAAAAATAAAACTTCACCTAGATAAGCTCCAGCTGTGGCTCACTAACAAGGAGACCACATGAGATGTGGGTCACCAAATGTCCTGAAAATTTTTTTCTGGTCTCCTGGTATCTAATTATAAAGCCCCCTATTCTTAGTTTGATCCAATGGGCCTTAGGGCCCATTTTAAAAATCATTTTCTAGTTTATTGAAAAATTTTTGTGATTTTCTAACTTGTAATAGGACATATTAAACGGAAAATTGCACAATCTACAAGTCTAAGAATTAGTCAAGGAATACATTTGAATTTTTTCAGAATTTTCGAGACCTGCTATCACCTATTTTCAAAGGCCTAAATTTAACGCGTTTTTACTTTTTTCTTAAGAAGCTCAGAGACCTTTGAAAATAAGTGATAGTAGGTTTCAAAAATTCTGAAAAAATTCAAATGTATTCTTTGACTAATTTTAAGATTTGTACATTTTGCAATTTTTCGTTTAAGATGTCCTGTTACGGGTTAGAAAATCACGAAGATTTGTCAATAAATTAGAAAATGATTTTTATATTGGGCCCTAAGGCTCATTGGATCAACCTAAGCATTGTGGGCTTCATTATTAGGTACCAGGAGACTAAAAAAATTTTTCAGGACATTTGGTGACCCGCATCTCATGTGGTCTCCTTGTAAGTGAAGAATTAAAAGAAATGCAAATAAATCTAGTCATATCACGTTCACTTTAAGAAAAGAAAACTGCCCCAAGTTAATCTCCACGGAAACTTAATCCCACAATCAGACAAGGTGAAACTCCTTGGGTCTCAAAATTAATGAAATTCTACTAGCTAATTGGAAGAAAGTCTTCGCTCACTCTGGAGAATAAAGTTCTCCTGTACAAATCAATAATGAAGCCTGTCTGGCTATATGGCATTCAGTTGTGGGATGCCGCTGTCAAGTCAAACATTGGCATAATAGAAAGACTCCAAAATAAAGTGCTGCGTTCCATGGTGGATGCCCCCTGGTACGGACCATACGAGCAGATTCGATGTGATCTGAATATTCCGACTGTACGAGAGGACATCGACTATGTATTCTTCAAGTACATGGCAAAGATTGGCAAACATTCCAACCCGCTAGCCTTGGAATTGGCATTGCTGCCACCAGCCTCAAGGGTGAAGAGACGTCAGCTCGAGTAGCTCTGCGGCCATCGTCTGACGGATTCCTTTACACCAACATGCCGGACATGCTAATCAACATTATATCTTCAATTATATCAAATTAATAACTTTTAATATCTTCTGAATAGCTAAACCACTTCAGTGATGGACGTTGGTCCATCCTCTGCGTCATGCCGATTCTTACATGTACAGTTAACAATATTTGCCTACTGTTTTGTAGCACTGACAGATTGGAAATGAAATTTGGAAGATAAAAAAAATATGTATTTTTGTTTTTTTTTCAAGATCATTTTGGGGGTGCTACGGTTAGAAAAAAGCCCTTACTTGAGCTTAATTTAAGGTTAAATCAGGGTTTTATTTGAATCTATAACGCCCTTAAAATGACGTTATAAAAAACAAAATACATGTTTCCCCAGTTGAAAAAAATTGCATGGATATCCACGTGGAAATCCACGAGGATTAGTAATCCTCGTGGACCATACAGGGTTTCCATGTGGATCGTACAGGAATTCCACGTGGATCATACAGGGATTCCTCGTGGATCGATCATGGGCTGAAAAAAATGCAATCACCACGGATATTCTACTGATACACGCTGATTTTTTTTCAATCCTCGTGGATGTGGAACTTGTTCGCGAGCACGCGCTCGAAACATCCGCGAGGATTTGCGGCGAAAATCCCCGTGGATTGATCGAAAATCAATGAGGATTTGCGCAAAAATCCCCGTAGATTGATCGAAAATCAATGGGGATTTGCGCGAAAATCCCCGTGGATCGATCGAAAATCAACGAGGATTTCCGCGAAAATCCCCGTGGATCGATCGAAAATCAACGAGGATTTCCGTGCAAATCCCCGTCGTTTACGTACGTGGACTCTTTATATGATCCATGTTCGATTCACGTGGAATCAATGTCCCATCCTCAAGGAATCCCTGTATGATCCACGTGGAATCAGCGTGGATAATCCACGTGGATATCCACGCAATTTTTTTCAACTGGGTCAACGTTAAATTTTTCAATAAAAAAAATGAGGGTTTCTATTTGAAAAATCGATTTTTGGGTCGGTGTAGCTAAGAGGTTATTTTCAAGGTCAAATCCAAGGTCATCATTGCATTTCCCGTGAAAAAATACGACGGATATCTTTTTGGTGTTAATGATCAGGCCGTACTTTTCAGCCCAAGAGGCTACTCGTACGAGGTCGTAGTTCATCCTACTGACTATCAGGTTCGGACGATTCGCGGGCGGCGATGAGTCAACGGCAGGTCGTTTATCAAGGTAAAAAAATAGCAAGGTCCACTCCGGTTTGTACACGACTGGATCGACTAGTATTAGTCAGAGAAGCCGTTGAACCTCAGCTTGACGATCAGTAAGTCAACATTGATATGATCGAAATTTCGTAAAAAGTCGATTGATACCACCAGGAATACATCCTTCATATCAATTCCCAACTGGAAGAATACGATAAGTTCGTATCCTTGTAATTGGGTTATCTCGCGTACATTATTAACTACATCGATGAATGCAGTATGCGTACCGTATTGCTCGCAGAATACAGACCGGTGTCTATCTAGGATATCACACTCACGAATGATCTTCTTCAATTATTCGAGAGCAGCTTATTCAAGGAGATTAGAGGAGGCATATTGGCCCCGAACGTTTGCGCAGCGTGGCGCTTTCTCATGTAAATTCTCATAAGAAAAAATGTAGTTCGAGCAGCCACGCTGGCATTTTTGATAGGATGTCCTGTTTTTCCATAAGATTATACATGTAAATGGTGAGATGCAGCGCCACTCTAGGCTCCGCCCTAACGCTCAGAGCGAATAGAAAGCTTGAAAATTCTGTGCATATCCAGACATGTTAGTAGCGGTAGGTAAGTCACTCAAATCTAGACCGTTTGTTAAGTCAATAAAATGCTCATTCAAATTCTCGATTAAGGTTGTATCGCCACCCGTATCACCGCCATAGTCTGATTTTGCCTCGATATCAGAACTCTAATTAACTCAATAGTGAACCACAGCATTCAATTTTACTTAGGGGCCATAGCGTGATATAGAGCATAGCTGTCGATTAATTCATCTACTACCGACATAAAGGCCTTGATTTTAAAATCTACGTTTCTCACGCTGATAATATGAACCCAGTTGAATGCAACAATGCTAGTTAGCGTCAAAATGAATCGGATTGAGATACAGTTATTGTGTGGGCATCTTCAGAATGATGAGTGGGTTTGAACTACAGCAGCAGGATGCTAAACGTTGTCTAGAAGTCCTGAAGAATATTACGTGGTGTAGATAGCACTAGTCAATTGATGTTGAAATCCTATCAAATGATAATGTAGTCAGGTAACACTCTACAGTTGATCGGAACCAGTTTCTGCCTATATCTATAATTTTTCTATTTTTTCATTCGAGCACAGGTAGAGCGTTATTTGTTTTTCATTAAATACAACTTTATAATACAAAATTATAAAAATTTTTTTAGAAATTATTAAAGAGAGTTGAAGTTTATTTTTTAATTGTTGAAGCTTTAATAGAAAAAGTATTTCTTCTTTTTTAAAGACCACAAAAATAATGATTGATGAATTTTTTCAGATTCTGAACAAAACAACAATACGTTACATTGCTAAATCTTATTACAAACATATTTTTATCTCAACGCTCAGATTTTATATTATATATTACTATATCAAATATTAAGTACTGTTCAAAAATATAAAAACTCACATCTCGAAGATTGAATGTTATGTCTAAATTTTGACTAAAATTATTCGCAAATTCTGGATAAAGTGATAGAACATCCAATAAATCTTCTCGTCTTATTTTATGTAGATCACAATATGTAAGGGCACACACATTACATGATGATTTACCAATTGTTGTATAAATGCATGGATTTTCTCCAAAAATATCATCTTTGCTTAGGATTGCCATTACTATATCATCTTTTAAAATTTCAATGCTGCCACGAGAAATAAAATATAGTGATGTGAGTACATCACCCCTATGTACTAAAGTATCTCCAGGTGGTGCATGAGTTGTTTTGAATTTTAGAGATAATGCCCTGAAAATAAAGGTTATTTATAAAACATTTTTTCAAACTATTTCTAAATTAGATCATTACGTAATAAAATACAAGCTAACCCGAGACCACTTCAAAGTACTAGTATTCTTTTGGGGAGTTAAAAAATGTGAATGTAATACATAATTATTATCCGTATTTGCGGTTCTCTTATTCACGGATTTCGCTTATTTGCGGTTTTGTAAATGTGGCTATCTCTCCCTTATTGGGGTATGCATTTTGAAAAATTTTGGACAAATTTATGTTTATAACGAGAAATTGCGTGTTTACACTCGTAGCAGCCTAGTTGAAAATAGTTGCACGGATTTCTTCGTGGATCAGCTACGTGGAATCAATTCCACGAGGAAAGATCATAGATTCCATGTAGATTTTTGCCAGTTTATTCATGAGGATTTTCTTGGGCAATCCACGATTTTAACCCGGGTTCTTTTGATTTCGAAGCTGGTACTCTAGGGGCTGAGCTATCAATCAGATATATAAGTTAACCCGCTTTATAGTAAAATCTACTTGTAAAAAATATTTGTTAGTTTTAAAAAAATTCAATTCGTTACATTTTGAATAAAGTTTACACAAAATGAAATAATTATGTTCTTAGTATTTTTTTTACTTATTATTCACTTAAAATCAATTTCTATAATATAACTGATTAATAGCGTAGTCAGTAGAGTTCCAGCCTCAAAATCGAATGATCCCGGGTTCAATTCCTTCTTACGGGAAAAACTTTTTTCATTTTTAATGACCAAAACATCCTCGTGGATCGCTCAAGAAAGTCCTCATGAATAAACTGACAAAAATCTACATGGAATTTTTGAACTGTCCTCGTGGAATCGATGTACTTTCCACGCTGTTTCCGTGCAGAATCTATCTCCGATAAGCATCGATTCTACGTAGCTGATCCACGAGGAAATCCATGCAACTATTTTCAACTGGGAGAATACTTATACAGAAAGTCAATAGCAGAAATATGTAAACAAAGCTTATTTTAACTAAGTTTGAAACCCGGTTTTTGAAACCAAGTTTGAAAACGTGTTCTTAAAAAAAAACTAAATGAAGAGCATTTGCCAGTGTTTTGCAGTCAAATAAGACTTTTCTTTCATTCATTCCAGATGTGAAAATATTTTTAACTCAGAAAATTTTAGTTTTAAAGTTTTACTGCTACTCGATAATGCTCCTTGTCATTCTCTAAATTGCAATAACTTCAGCATCAGGGTGCAAGCATTGGAAGTTAAAGTTATATTTTTACCTCCAAACACAAACTCGCTCATACAGAGCAACATACTAAACAATCGCGATTAAAAGACTACTTTTAGAAATCCTAAGGTACCCTGTTTTTTATACTACATTTAATTATACAATTTTTTACAATGAAAGTCATGTAAATCTTCAACCAAACAGGTGTCACCTCAATTTAGGTCTACCAATTACCCGTTTTCCATAAGACTAAGGTTTCCATATTTGCGGTAATTTTTGGATACGCATTAACCGTGAATACGGAGGGATGTCTGTACTCAAAATTTCTTCTAATCCAAAGTGATTAGATCACTTTAGAATATTTTTTCAAAAATCTAGACAATTTCCTACGAAATGGTCTTTGAATTTTTTTGTTACCACGTACACGAACCGAGTGTCTCGTGTTGTAGCACAGCTTGTGGAGATGCGTAATAACGCACAAGAGATTCGCAATGAAGTAGTGGTAGAGAGAAGACGTGAATAAGATTAAATGTTGTAATTCGCTATCCAGAGCTAAGACGAGTTCGAAGAGAGATTCTGAACCTCGGACATAGTGGGTACGGTAGTGTGTTCGTATAGAAGAAGCTGTGAACAGCAGTTTGAGATGTAGTGCTGTAAGCTAACTATGGCTTAGTTCATATTAAAAGAATAAACATTTGATTAAAACAAAATGGTGGAAGTCAAAACATTTTTTTTGTATAAGAACGCTTTTTTAGATACTTTATCGTTTCATTGTTATAAAATTTTTTTTTCTGCAATTTTCTGGTGTCGTCGCATACACTGAAAAAATTTTGCATTGAATAATAGATATCTACAGTGAAAATACATCTTATTTTCTTCAAATGAACAAATATTTATGACACACTGAACACGAAACATATAATAATATTTTGAACGGAATCATTTCTCACTGGGACAAGAATTAATTGGCTTCACGCGTGACGGTAAATTGCGATATCGATCATTTCTCCATTGTTATTTGTTAAACTAGTTAATAAAAATTATGTTGTTACGAGGCATAACTCATAAGCAATATTTTTATTATCTTTGCTGCTGCTTACAAATAAGTGTAGAGAAAATCTATCCCAGTGGGCCAGAATTAGTTATTAACATTTCAATTGTTAAAACCGTTATAACTAAGAAACTATAATAGATATCAAAAAATGAGTATTTGTTTCCCTTATAAAAATTTCCTATAGGATCTCGCGAAATTCCTACAGGAGTCCTATAGGATTCCAGTAAGAATTTCGCGGGATCCTATAGGAAATTTTTATAAGGGTTTGCTTAACGATAAAACGAAGAGATTAATTTTTTTAAAATAACAATGTTTTGATAATATTATTCGAACGTATAAAGAAAATAGGCTCGTTTCTGTAAGATTTCACTGGAATATAGTCCAAGCGCTTCGACAACAAAAAGTGCTTGATAATTGCGTTCTCCGTGAACCTAAATTCCTGTCACCATCATCGTGAACTTTTTCCAAGTTAACTGTTGACTATGAAGTAAAGACACTATAGTGTGATACCAATACAAAACCATAGTTGATCACCAATTCAGTACCAAATTTTTTCAGCGTATGTCAATAAAAAAATATGTAAAATTGAATAAGGATCGGACTACTAGTTCCGGAGATTAACTGTCCACCAAGCAAAAAAATATCATTTCGAGATAAACGCGTTCAAAGTCCCGGGCTAGCCAGTGGGTCAAGTAATTTATAAGTCTACTTGTTAATTAATGTAATTATTTCCTTATAGCTAGTACTATGTAGATTTTTCTCTCTTACTAGCTATTAGTTTAAATGTAATTTTGATAATGTCCATCGACCACTGAACACTCAACGGGAAAATTTTGATTGTACAGATCCAACGAAAAGGCAGGTCGGTTCATTAGGGTCGATCTATCATTTCTATCGATATCCCGCCGGATTATTATTAGTATTCCTAGTTGAAAAAAATTGCGTGGATGTCAACGTGGATTATCCACGCTGATTGCATGTGGATCATACAGGGATTCCTCGAGGATCGGACATTGATTCCACGTGGATCGAACATGGATCATATAAAGAGTTCACGTACGTAAGCCTCGTGGATATTCGATTATCCACGAGGTTTTTTGTGGTGAAATCCTCGTGGATTTTGATTGAAAAAAAATTGTCAATGGATTTTTTTTTAATTAAGAATTGTCTGTAATTTTTGAAATTATTTATTTAATAATTTAGATTATTTTTAAGATTTATATAGGATTAATTTACTTGTATACTTTAGAGAAGTGAAAAGCTCCCCTTGACTTGAGCTTGAACCGAAGATCTGTCGGTTACAAGTCCAGCTCCCTACCACTTGAGCTATTCATTGATTATATACGAGCCATCGAAGCAGTTATATTAATGAGAAGTGTGTATGCATTTTTTTAAGTTCTTTTAATATCTTATTATGTTTATAGTACCACAATAGAAAAACTAGTTTTACAATATAATCACAATTTTAAAATCTTGCTTTCGCTCTTTCTGGAGTAATACGTGCATGGGTACTAGGTTAGGATCCGGACTCGGCGATGACTTTCCTCGGGTAGTCGTGATTTTTTTATGATCGCGATCGTACCCGAAGAAAGTCATCGCAAAGTTCAGTTCTGACCTGGAGTCAAAAATAGGCTACCCGGATGATATTCTCACACGAAAATTTCAACTTCCTGAAGACGATTTGGCACGATTTTCACCTGATAATTTACCTGACTTTTCACCTGATTTTTTCCACCAGGGTTATTCAATTATCCTCGCGCATCAGTTGAAAATCCGTGACGATTCACTGACGAGACCTCGCGGATCCTTCGAGCGTTCTCGCGAAGAAGGCTGAAATCCACGAGGATTGAACAAAAAAATAACGTGGATCTGTGGAAAATCCGCGGTGATTGCATTTTTTTCAGATCATGATCGATCCACGTGGAATCCCTGTACGATCCACGTGGATATCCATGCAAATATTCTCAACTGGGTTGTATTATTATAATTATTATAATTATTATAATTATTATAATTATTATTATTATTTTAATTATTATTTTTACTATTATTGTTATTATTATCAGATATTTTTTTACCTTAAGCAACCTGGGCTAGCACCGTCGAAAGCATGGCAATTATTTAAAAGATTTCTATTTAAATGAAGGCAAATATCAGCTTGTAAACATTCAGGAAATCCTTTTAGAACATTATTCATGTCTATTCCATTTGTGTATGTCCATGCATGTTGAAAATATTCTTCTAACCTTTGCCGTAAGGGATTTGGAATTTGGTGAAATTTAATGAATTCTCTCACTCGAAGCATTTGCGTATGATATCTTGCGGTGCCACTGTAAAGTCTTTGAATTATAGCGGATACATTCCCAAAAATACTAGCGTACATTAGTGCTGGAAATCATGATTGAAAATTGTACATTAAAAGAAATCGATTAATTTTTATCATTAATATAGCCCTTTCTATCAGAAAGAGCTTATTTAAGAGTTTTAAACTCAAAAAAGGCTCAAAAAATCGAAAATTCGTAATTTTATGAATGAAAGTGGATTTGGACTACATTATTAGTGAAATCATTAGATTTGACGTAAAAAATCCTACACTTCTACACATTTTAAATTTCACCCAGTATTTTTTTGTTCACTTGAAACTGCTGAACTGCTGAACAGAGGATTTTTTGCTTTTTACGCAAAAATATCAAAAAAGTCAATTTTTTCAATGAAAATGAAGTCGTAGGGCTAAAATGACAACAGCATTTTTACTCTCATAACAGAGTTTGAAATCCATTGAATTTTGGATCCATTGAATTTTTGCTCGTGTTTAGGACCACAGTATTAAACTTCAAAAAACTATCGACACTTATTCCCAACCCTTTTCCAAGATTTTAAACTAGGCTTTTTTTCTTAAAACCTCGAGCTTTAATAATCGTCATCACATCAAGGTGATTTCGAAAATTTTTGCAAAAGTGAACCACTATATAATATAATAGTATCGAACGCTTTCAACACAAATATTTTACTGTATTATTAATTAGTCATTGGTCTTTTTTCAGCATCATCTTTTCTAGTTAATAATTTTTATGGTGAACCATGATTTTGAAATTACATAAAAAGTTCGTCTGATTTTGATTTAATGTAACATCAAGTATTCTGTCAATATTCCACTCAAAGCTTTGAGTAGGTTTATTTTCAGTCTTCTCTAATGACTCAAACTTCTTTATAATTAACAAACATCGGGTCTGCACGATGATGGGCTGTACTTTTTCACCTTATAATACAAACTAGCGACGTACCTCGCGCGCTGACGCTCGCTCAGTTTTTTAGAGTTTTGTAAGAATTTTCAAGAAAACAAGAAATATAAAACAAGTTTTTACAAATTGCTGTTGAAGATAGAATTTTGTATAAGAAAGAATTTCCCGATAAATGTTCGCATAACATTATTCAAAAAATCCTGGAATATACATGGGTCAATAATACTTTTTAAATTTTCGTCCGAACCTATGTCATTGATCTTTTCGCACTTTTGGTATATAATAGTAAATGGTAAAAAGGTCTCACAACCAAAATTTTAGACCCCCTCCCTTCCTAACCCCCACTCCCGCTATAAACATCAATTTTTGATTTATATTTATTCGGAAGCCCTGAAGCAATTAAAAAGTCTGAAAAAATTCATGATGGTACTTTTCCACAATCCAAACAATATTGAATTTTTTCAGATTTTTTGAGTGCTGTAGGCCATAGATAAAATCATTGAAAATTTTAAAAGTCCAGGATGCAATAACCAATCTGAAATTTTTTTTTGTTTTTTATTTCATTGAAAATAGTAACCTCAAATTTTTTTCAGATTTTTTCGGGTTTTTGAATGCAATTTTTGAAGCCATAAACTCTTTTATGCCGAAAATAGTTTTTTTAGGGTGATATGAAGCCTTAAAAAATCTGGAAAATTTCATCCTCATTTCTTTTTGTTGGGAAAATGGTGGTTAATTAAATATATTTAGTTTTAACAAAACAATAATTTAATAAATATATAAAAAAAACAATGATTACAACAACCCGAGTGTGACCACAGTGCCGGTCTCTGTACGAATCGGAGCACCCGACACCCAGCTGGCAAGCAAAGGTGCCGCGCGCACGCCATCCCCACTCACTCACCATCACTCACACACATGCGTATAACACATATAGGCATCTACTCAGTGTGAAAGTACAATATTCCTAACACTTTTATCAAAATATATAACCATGCGTTTTTTCAGATTTTTCAATTAAAGGTGATAGCGTCTAGAGCTGACAAACGCTATTTTTAACAAAAAAAAGTTCTTGGCACCCAGAGGCTTCGGTAAAAAGATTTAAAAATACTCTTTCTGAATTCATTGTCAAATTTTAATAAAATTTGATCTGTCCATTTTTTGATTGAAGCCTCCTAGCTCAATCTAGAACATTAAATAGATCAATAACCAGTTTACTATCCCTTCATGTCTTCAGAAATGTCTCCAGAATTTCGCATTAATCTTTGTTCTCTCGCTACGCTCGTGCGCTAATCTCACTCTGCGTTACCAAAAAATGCGACTCATCCCACCGAAAAGCATGCCATAAATGTGAACTTATGCCACCCAGTGCTATAATTGTACTTTACGATACAAGTGCCATAAGTAACACTTTTTGGCATGGTGTAGTTTAGGGCCCGAGCGAAGCGAGCCCGAATAGCTGGACCGAAAAGTGTCCCCATGGCACGAATATCGTACAACATTTCATTGCACTGTGCTAAGTTTACATTTATGCCCCCCTTTTCGAGTCATGAGTTGCACTTTCTGGTACCACAGAGTGAGGTTAGCACACGAGCGCAGCGAGTGTGATAGGCGTGACGCGGTGTCAGAATGTGCGACTCATACCACCCAAAAGCGTGCCTTAAATGTGAATTTAAGACACGCAGTGCTATAAAATAATAAATTAGTAAAATACGCCGACGAGTAAACTACGCCGTTCCAAAAAGTGTTAATTACGGCACTTGTATCGTATAATTATTTAATGACCCTGCATCTTAGAAAAGTCATGAGAAAAAACTTTCTACCTTCTCGTATTGAAATGAAAATGACGTCACGCATAAGTGCGAGTTACTGTAAATGTATATACTTAAAATCAAATTTATTCAATTGAACTTTTTTTTATTCGAATATATTTTTTTAGTTAAATTAAAGGGACTCTTTCGGTACAAATCTTTGTGCGGTGAGCGTTCAGTAAGCTAATATATTGAGTTGTATACGATATGTGTGCAATGCACAGTTGCGTTAGTGCAACAGACGACATTGCCCACTTGCTGTCATTTTGTTGTAAACCGCTTTTTTACTTTAAAGAGAATAATGTCGATTTTTTTCAAACTTTAAACACTGTTTTGTTATATTGGCTTTTCTGCAAATCCTGTATCCTGCGATAATTGGAAAAATTAATTTTTTTTTGTTAACAGAATATGAATCCTTATTCTCGGTTGGACATTAGCATAATGTTATTACTCAGGATACTTTCAGATAATAACTCAAGATTTTGTAGCGGTATAAATAAACATACCATTAGATTCTGCATATCCTAATCTATCAAATATGACATGTCTCATATCTGGAATTTTTCGTCATGAAAGAGTCCCATAGAGCTGATAGTAAGTTTTTTATTTTATTATTTTACGTATTTGAGACACACATATTTTATAGCATCAAAGTGCCATGCGCTAAAGTGACTAGCTTGCACGCAATCTAGCGTCGCAGATCGTCTCAGCCGTTATGACCATTGATGTTGCAATGAAGTGCAAGCCAGCTCAAACGGTTCACTCTGAAAGTTATGAGAAGTGAGATGCATTTTTGAAAAACACAAAATGACAAAAAAAGCAAAAGTAGAAAAAATTTAACTCGTAAGTTATACGGAAAACGCTCAATAAAAGAGCTGTATTTAAGTGAGAAATCAAAACTTTGGAGTTAAATCTTTTCGATTTTAATCCGCTTTTAACCAAGAGACCCTAAATTGAATTTCCGAATGAACTAACACCGTTAACTTTTAGTATACGCCGCCGAATCCAGAGCTCTAAACTGATCCAAAAGAGTGATCATGGGAAAAGAATATGATCGTCGTGGAAAAGTGTTTTATAAGAACGTTTCTTTATTATTTTAAAAACAATTCATTTGTATTTTAAAAACAGTTGCATCGATTTTTTAAATTTGAACCTGATTTAAATGATAAAAATCCCATAAGATATGATATTTACACATTAATCTAACAATGATTTTATTCTAAAATAACACGTTGAATTAGAATTCTAAATTAGGTTCTCTTAGTTAAAAATGGGTTAAGGTATCTATAAACCGTCAAGTAGTGGTAAATTTTAAGTTGTTTGAGAACACTATAACTTTTTCGTCTAAAGTATTTAATGGTGAAGAGACATACTTTTTGAAGACGCGATTTTGTGCTCCCAATTTATCAATATTCGAAAAACGTGCCGATTTGATTAGTTTTCTATACTAAATAGAGAATTTGAAATCTCGAGGATGATTTATCTAATTCTGTCCAAACTAAAACTAATAGTGTAAATTGAGAAAACTTAAATCCTGAGTGCAACCGGGATTTCTCAACTTATGCTGATAAGTGCTAAACTACTTTTTCTACTGAAGTTTTGCCAAATCATATTTGTGTACGTTACAGTAATGTTATATTGATTCAGCCTATCACCTTACAACTAGAGCTAAAGTTTTACCGAAGAATTGAATAAAATGAAAAACAAAAAATGTTTGACTGATTTCAAATTTTTATTGAAAGAAGGTAAAACATCTTTTATTAATAAAGAGACTAGAACAGGGCCTGAGCCCAATTGAATAAGCACTTCTTTCTGTGGATCATGTTATTGTCGTCGATGTCTACGTGCACCGACAGTTGCACAAGTGTTCTGCTGTCTCTCTTGCTTCTCCCTGAACAAGTGTAGCTGCAAGAAAATTGTGTTGAAAACAGATCTAATACAGACACGGCGTAGAACAGTAGTAAAATTAACAAGTAATCCAAGGATTAAATAAAATTGTCTATTTACTCACGAAGTATTCTCAAGTGTTTTCTAATTATTAATATATGCTGGTCTTTAACCTTTCTGCTACAGAGGCTATTCACTAGTCGGGGAAATAAAGAAATGCACTATCGATTTTCGGTGGAGTAAAAGGGATTTGAATGCAGGACGTGTATTCGATTCTTTATGAGCTCTGGAAACGTTGTGAACTAATCTAACCATGAAGTAACCCCAAGTTGCATTTTCGTATCCAAAACAATGCATAAAAAACTATTTTTCGTATAAAACCGAGTTGTCCAGTAAATATGCAAAAGCATGTACTTTTTACGTTAAGCGTAACAATAAAATAAATGAATAAATAAAATAGTCGAAAGACTATATGATAAAATTACATGCAAATCACGTTCGTGTGATAAAGATTATTTGACAACATTGGATGATGTCTATTTGTTAAATTATAATGTTGCACGATAAAATAATAAAGTCTGAAAGTTCACATCTGATAACGTTTAGTTCATGGTCTCGCGAAACAATAGTTAAGAAAGGTGTAAATAAGCGAATATTAAAATATCCGAGATTTTGTACATGTGTAATCAACGGATTTAGATGATAAAGGGGTGATTGACCCGATACCAAGAACTGTCGCTTGTCATCACGTGCAATATGATTTAGTTGTACGTGGGGCCGATCTTAGGGTATATGAGGAGAGCCCATGAAGGCCTCTGGGAGATTCATCTATCACCTTATCTTAAACCCCCCTGAGTACTTGATTTTATTCTTTTTTTAGGTATAATCTGGCATATCATTCTAGAAATAGACGTTAACCGGAGTGGTCAACAGGTACTCGCCAGGCTCTCACTGACCTTATATTCGTATTCAGCAACCACAATAGCCCCCGAGTTACAACTTTGAGCAAATTTTTACAATTATTTGACAACCCTTGAAAAAATTTCCTGTAGGATCCCGCAAAATTCCTACAGGAGTCCTATAGGATTCCAGTAGAAATTTCGTGGATCCTACATGAAATTTTTATAAGGGAAGTTTCACAATTTTTATAATGGTTTTATATGAAATTCAGATTTTTTATGAAAATGCCATAACAAATTTAATGCACGAAACCGCATTCAAATCCATCCTATTTCGCCGAAAATCGATAGTAAAGTCTATTTTTGTATTCATTCCGTTCATCTACACTGTACGATTGGATTAAACAATAAAACTTGGCGATAATTAATACGGAGATTTAAATTACACATTTTTTCACAAATGGCTTCTCTATTTTAGCATTTTTCCCCCACGATATAAAATTGAACTTGGTGACCCTTATAAATATTTCCTATAGGATTTCGCGAAATTCCTACAAGATCCTATAGGATTTCTTATAGGAAATTTTTATAAGGGGATAAATCGTTTACGAGAAAAAAATTATTGAAGTTGCGAATTTTCATGTTGGATTGACGTAACCTCTTTTCGTTCGCTAGATATAAACAAGAGTAAGTGCAAGTAAGTGAATTACGAAAGATTTTGGCAAATACGCTTTTTTGTGGCCCATAATGATTCTGCTGTTATATTTGAAGGGGGTATAGTAAAGTTTTTATTACTTTCGCGTGAATTTGAGATAATTTACTAAAGATCCGTTAAAAATAAGCTAATAAAGCTGAAGTGCATGCTGAAGAAAAACACTTATTACTTGGACTATAGACTTTGGATAACGTAAAACATCAAAACAAAAATTACCATGGGCCACAAAAAAGTACGTTTACCAAAGACTTTCATTTACTTTCAATTCTTTTGTTTATATTCTTTTGTTTATATCTTGCAAGTGGTAAAAGGATATGCCAATCTGATATGAAAGTTCGCTACATTAATAACTTTTTTCTCCGGCTCATTCGTAAGAGTTATATCCATTAAGACTTTTGTTCAGGAGGTCGATATCTATAAGTGAAAAAATTTTCATTGCATTTGATTGAGTCCCTTTTTTTCTGGGATCTTTTAATTTTATTAGAAAATCATTCAAAAAGCTTTATATTGTTTATTCCATTCAGTTTCTTAGGTAAGAATTGGATTTGAAACTCACCTAAGATCTGACCCAAAATCTCACGTGGGAACTAAAAGAACATTCCTGTGTTAAATCCTGTAAAATTGATGTCACATAAATACGTACGAATTAAATGTTAATATTCAAATTTTTTGTTTTTGATATAAAATTATGTTTTTACAAATCCTTTTATATTAGAAAATATGTCACTTATATCTTTAATTATTTAAATTAGTCCAGGTACATCTATAATGACTATCATGATTCTAAAATCCTGAGTCCCTAATTTAAACCCGTGGGGTCTCGGAAGCTTTGTAACAGCATTTTTTTCTACTGGCCTTTTTCAAAATTCTGTTCCAATTAAGCAGAATAAAAAATAAAACAAAACGTTTAGGACCTTAAGGATGAAAATTGGTTCAAAATTCAATTAACGTTCAAGCAGAATATGACTTGGGAATGACAAATTGTTATAAATGAATCTTTGACTAATTTAAAAAATTAATGGTTTGAAAGAAATATTCTCTGATTTAAAAGGACTTGTAAAAACATAACTTTACATCAAAATGTACAAAAATTCAACATTAATATTTAATTTTCATGTTTTTCAATTTACAGGAATAAGCGCTGGTGTGTCCTCTTAAGTAAAACGTTTTAATAGAGAAATGTCTAAATAACTATTGAATTCTATAAAGAGAGTAGTCTCTAATTGAACATTGATATAAAGTCAAAAAAACAAAAAGATATTAAAACAGTCATTAAAAAATCAAATTGTAAGAGCTAAGTAAATAAAAGCTAAGTTGAAAAAATTTCTTCATTTCCATGCATAAAATTCATACAGAATCTGCTAGATTAAATATGAAATCGATATCGATCTTACATTGAATCTACGTTGATAAAATGTCGACGGATATTTTGAAGTTAACTCCGCAGATAGATAATTTGCGTGATTTTATTTTACGTGGTTTTATGCATGGAGGTCGATGTAATTTTTTCTACAGTGAGAAACTTGTCTTACAATATTAAAGAAGTTTTTAAGACATCGTCTTAAACATAAAAAAATGAAATTCTAAGTTGATAAAATATTAAATAAAAATCTACTTACATCCCATTAACATTACAAATATTGTAAAAATTTTTTCTGTATCAGTGTTAGGAGCAACATTACCAAATCCTACTGACGTAAGGCTGCTAAATGTAAAATACAAAGCTGTAATATAACGACTCTGAAAAAAAAATGCATTGTGAAACAAAAATGAGATAAAATTGAATTATATTTTTTTATAATTTGATTTTAATTTATTTATATTATGTATCAAGAAATATATCAGAAAGAAAAATATTTTTCAGGACATTTAATATACTTCTACAAGTTTTCTGTAATCTAAACTCATTGACTCGGGATTACTACAAGAGATGTAGACTCTTGCCATTGGACAGTTGTTCATTTCTTATTGCAGGACACCTCAGAAAAATAAATTACAAGATCCTCACTTTCACGAAGGTGGTTGTTGGTTGGCCAAACCAACCAAGTTTTTGGGATGATGATAAAATCATGATTTAACATTTTTTTTCATTTTCACCCTAAAAAAGAGAATAAAAAGCAGAATAACAACAGAAAATGAAAATTCAACTTTGGGCCCCTGTAGATATGCATGAGGGATGAACCTAGAGGGTTGAAATTTTCAGGATTTTCGTTCATAAATAAACTCTTCAAAAGTACATACTTATAACTTTTAATTCATTTTTTGAGGGGGGCAATTGACGTGTTGTACCCTCGTAGATAAAATGCTGATTTGTCAGTAAAAACCTGAAAAATCGAATCAATAACTTCAGAAAAATACTTATGTATCCTCGCAGATTTATACAATCAAAATTGCAGTAAATATGTAAACAACAATTTATTCGAATAATGAAGAAATATGACTTAAAAGTGACAGTATTCGTTCACTATAACGAGCCGTAAGTAAGCTGAAATCATTAATAACTCCTGTAACGGAATTGCAGGATACACCTAAGTGTAGTAGCGTCACCCAAACGTAGATATGGGCATCGGTCAGTACTTGCATGATTTTCATACGTTCCAGCTGAAGAGCGAAGATGTGATGAGTTTATTAATTATTTTTGTATTTCGACTCGTGTCACTAGCCTGCGGTCCGTAAGACAGTTTTTAGACTAAAAAACTGTTTGAAGGCGCTGCTGTATGTAGTAGGGTGGAGCGAAAAAACCCTTTTGACACCGAACGCTTTCTAATAGCAATAGAACGTTAGTATAACTCAAAAAAAGAGAAAAGCCGCGAGGTAGGCGCATACAAATGATATCTTCAGTTAGCGCATGAAGCTCGAAGTTTGAATTTCGTAAAAACAATATAATCATGCTTCAGAAATAAATCACAGCAAAATCTCTCGGCGTCGAATTGACCGATCAGGCTGAAAGTTTCAGGGCTTGTTTTACATGTGAACACGAGTTTCTCTGTAAAATTTTAGTCCTCTAGGTGCCTTAGAAACAAAGATATAGTCATAGGAAGGTTGAAAAACGACGTTACATTAATTTTTTTTTGTGCTACTTCTATCTTTGTACACCTGTACGTTGCGTAATTTTTCTGCTATTGAGACGAACGAGTAACGAATTTTTTCGTCTATTAAAGACGTTTTCAACCGTATAAGTTTGTATAGGGGTTTTTAAATTTTTACTGACAATATAAAACATCTAAACTTTTGTGTCGCGATCGAAACTACATTTGTTATTATTTTTTCGGTTTGTTAAGAGTTACACATGCTAGACTAACTTGAATTACCTTTAATTTGGTGCATATAAAAAGTTTTACTGAAAATTCAGTAAAACTTCAAACAGCTGTATCTTTCGTTCTAGAGGACTTAAAAACTTTTTACATACACCAAATTAAAGGTAATTTTATGCTCTTTAAGACCATATAACTATCATTGAGGTTCAAGTTAGTCTAGCATGTGTAACTTAACAAACCGAAAAAATAATAACAAATGTAGTTTCGATCGCGACACAAAAATTCAGATGTTTTATATTGTCAGTAAAAATTTAAAAACCACTATATAAACTTATACGGTTGAAAACGTCTTTAAAAGACGAAAAAATTCGTTACTCGTTCGTCTCAATAGCAGAAAAATTACGCAACGTACAGGTGTACAAGGATAGAAATAGCACAAAAAAAATTAATGTAACGTCGTTTTTTAACCTTCCTGTGACTATATCTTTGTTTCTAAGGCACCTAGAGGACTAAAATTTTACAGAGAAACTCATGTTCACATGTAAAACAATCCCTGAAACTTTCAGCCCGATCGGTCAATTCGACGCCGAGAGATTTTGCTGTGATTTATTTCTGAAGCACGATTATATTGTTTTTACGAAATTCAAACTTCGAGCTTCATGCGCTAACTGAAGATATCATTTGTATGCGCCTACCTCGCGGCTTTTCTCTTTTTTTGAGTTATACTAACGTTCTATTGCTATTAGAAAGCGTTCGGCGTCAAAAGGGTTTTTTCGCTCCACCCTAGTATGTAGCCGGAAATCGACTCAGATAGAGACGGAGGTTGAACACAGCGAGACGTTTTTGTGCCCCTTTTTTATTCTAAGTTGTATCCTTATAATTAACCATTGTAAAGGCCATTTATGTGCTAAATAAACGTGGAACTTAAATATAAAATAAAGACAGAAAGTGTGTGTATATTTATTTACGGAGATAAAACATCCTTTAATTTCATGCATGCGAAACCTAGTTCTCTACAAGATGCCATCTAGTTACACGGTCAGTGGTGACATGGAAATTCGGTGCCAGGGGAAACCCGACAAGCGGGCAGATTGCTTTGAGCCGTGTTTTCCGCGGCGTGTAGTTTCAAGCTAAGATCGCCAAGTTAAGCTGGTGAATGAACCTTGGCCTGTGTCGGGCAAGACGAAACCCAGAGACTAAAGTGAGTTGGGTGTGTGTGCACCTTGAAATTGAGTGTGCGGGTCTGTGGTAGCCCGTGAAAGCAGAATGCTAGTGAAGTTTGTGAAGTCCTGTGTGGGCTTGTTGTGATACGTCCAAGGGAGGACCAAGTATCCCAAGCAGTGATGCGCCGAAGATTGAAGATTAATTTTTAGGTACTCGGTATGGAGATATTAAATGTTGGTCTTGGTCTGTGTGTAGATGTATGTTGACTCGTCCGTTACCCAGCTCCAAGTCAGAAAGTCCCCGACACTCCATACATCGTCGGGTAAGTGACGTGTCGCTATAAAGATCTTCTTCGGGAAGGGAGAGAGAGAATAAGAAAATGACTAGTGTAGGCTTGTAGTTACTAACGAGAACAATTGGATTTATTTAGGCCGGGCTGGCAAGTGCTTGTCACTACTAACTACAGGCGTGACTGTATCTCGCCACACGCGGTGAGTTCAACCAACGTGCGCGAGTCGGTGCGCGCGGGCTTGAGAGAGGAGGCAAGGCAGCCGACGCCACACTCGGTTGGTGCGGATTCGAAGATGTGCCTAGAAGGCAAGAGAGTGGTTTGAGTGTGAGAGTGTCGGCTGGGCTGTATAGGTGTGCGAAATACGTGAGCACGATAAACCCACAGTCGGGTGCGGATCGCCCGAGGACGTGACGTGACGTGTGCACCCGCCGAGTTAAATATGCGGACCCCGAAAATTTGCAATCGATTAGTCGCTTCCTGCACTGTTTATAAACAACAGTGCGTGATTACAGTTTCACTACGTACGTTGCACAGTGAAGGAAGCGACTAATACGTAGTTGTAAGGAATGAAGTAGAAGAATCGCTCTTTAGTTTTTCGAGCCTTGTAAAGTCCTTTTCAGGTACCAAAGGCCTGGAACGGAGTGTAGGACTCGCCAGCAGCGGGTCTAACTCGGTGAGAGGTCATAACCTCTTTGTGAGATCTGGTAAGGTCAGGCGGATCTCAAATAATCTAATAACGAAGGCAGCTTCCTGCAAGACAAAAAAACAAAGCCCAGTAGTTGTCTCTTGCACTCCACGAAAGTGGAAACGATCGCTTATATCTCTCCATATCTCTCTATATATCTCTCTATATTATAAAATAATCGCCGCCAGATTCGGGAAATGCAATTCGGGAAAACGAGCGGGAATAGAAAATGAGAAAATCAGGAAAATATGACAATCGAGAAAACAAACGGGATGGCCTGACGGGCCATTCGGGAAAAAAGACCATTCGGAAAAATGGCATCAATTTGGCAACAACATTTTATATAATATACTTTTTCAATAAAAATAATAGTAACTCCGTTTGTACCAATAAACGACAACAATATACTAATAATACACATTTACTGTAAGGGTTGGCGCGTGAAGCGCGCAGAGGGGCCGGGCTTCCCTATTTAACGTTATAAAAATTGCTAATCAAGAAAAAAATGTCACTTATGGAATCAAAAGTAGCTTGGTTATGATGGATATTTATTTTCTATCATTAAAACATTGATTCCATAGAACAGTAGTAGACAAGTAGGTTATTGCACCAAGATTTAAAACTTTCTCAAAAATAATTTATTTTCTTAGAAAACATTGATTGTTGATATCGGCTACAATAATGTTTTTTGTGTCGCCATCCCCTACACTGCAGCGTAGGGAAGTAGGAAAATTTTTGTTTTTTGTTAACTTAATTAAGGATAAATTCCAACCCGATCAAATAAACCCGGTCAAGTATGCCTTTCTCAACAAAATAGGCCTATTTTGTGATTAGCGTACCTGGAGCGTTTCATACTTATGTTCAAAAGCGTTTTATGACTTTTCATTGATAAAAATAAACTGCGGGACACGATGTCATATCAAAATGCCAAACTTTTTCTTATTTAAACTGTACTTTAAAAAAGGCTCCTTCGTTCTTTTTCAGTCAGTTTTGTAAAAGTGACTTTTTATAACCTTTTTACTTAAATGGTCACAGAACCATTAAAAAACATTCGATCGAAACCGAACAGACCTTCGTTACCTTCGTTTGAACATGCTCTATGGGAAAAAGTTTAAAAATTTGAGCTTTCATTTTTAACCGTTTTTATTGAGCAAGTTTATAATAGTGTGAATTTTGGCCATTACTTCAATTTATTAATCAAATTACATTAATCAGCTGTTGGAGGAAAACGAGTACATTTTTGTACATTCTAATAGTGCAAAATTGTTAAAAATGGCAATATCTAAGATCGTTTTCGTCGATTTTTCGTTCAAAACTAAACTCGTAGTTTGATAAAGGTTCTTACTCGGAATGTCATGACCAAGTCAATTCATCTTCATTTAAAACTGCTATATCTGACAAAAAATTTCAATTTGTCTGAAGCTATATCCGCTTGCAATTAGTCATTTAGAAGGTTGAAAAATAAAAAGTCGTCCTCATGTAGCCCAAAATCAGTTACTTTATTTAGAATCATTTGGGGACCAAAAAGCACCATTTTAACCGATAACAACCTTATATTTATTCAATTTTCAATAAAAACATGAACTTTTTCATGGCAAAAAAAAGTAAAATAAAAAAAAATATTTATAGCACTGCGTGGCATAAGTTCACATCTATGGCACGCTTTTCGGTGGCATAAGTCGCACATTCTGGCACCGCTGCGTTCGCATCACACTCGCATACGCTCGTGCGCTAACCTCACTTCGCGTTACCAGAAAGTGCGACTCATGGCTCGGAAAAGGGGGCATAAATGTGAACTTTGCACAGTACTATAAAATTTTGTACGATACTCGTGCCATGGGGACACTTTTCGGCCCAGCTATTAGGACCCTCGCTGCGCTCGGGCCCTAAACTGCCAAAAAGTGTTACTTGTGGCACTTATATCGTAAAGTACTATTTCATGATAAAGTGTTTGTAGTATTAGGTACCTTTATGCTTGGGCCTCCTGTATCATCACTTGCATAAAACTGATGAGTATCATTTGCCAATATATCCAACCAACCTACTTTGCTTTTTAATTTTGGTCGTTCAGCATTTCCAATAGCATACCTGAAATCAATGAGAAATATGTTGAACAGATGATGTATAATAATTTTTGTTTAAATGCACGGTTCAGATCGACAATATATTGGTCAAGATCATACTTTTTTAAATTTTCATTCTTATGTTACCGATTTTGACACTATTGAGTACCGATCTTGAGCTCGACACTCGAGAATAGAAAATTTTTTTATTATTATAAAGCCACTCTATCATTCAAGAATTCAATAAAACAACTCCACCACTTAGGTGCAACACCACTTCTGATAATGCGACTGCGTCTGCAGCTGAGGAGTCAACTCCACGAGCCCGCATTCCACTTATTCATTCCCCACCAACCTGCCCAGCCTCGTCACTATCATGTTTTCGCAGATATGACGGCAACCCGTGTAGCAGGCTCGCGCGTTCTGAGGGTATGCCACCCTACGAAAGGGAGGTAGGCATCGCTGACTGCGGGCAATTCGCCAACCTGCTTCTGTTCACCGCTCCGGCTCTTCGGATCGGTTATGCTGCTGGTCCGACCTATGTAGCCTCAGCCTCTTCCCACTGGTGCTTGGCCCGATCTTTGCGACGACATTGTTCGCTGTTGTTGTTACGTCTGTTTCTTGTTTATGTTGATGATGTTGAGAAATATTAACTTCCTTACCATCTGGCTGTTTTACTCATTTATTTGCTCGTGTAGTATTATATGGCTTCAAATCATTTACGTGGACTTTGACAATTCGTTTTGTTCTTGCGCGTCATACACAAGTGTCGAGTAAACTTTAACAATCTCACACGGACCGAGAAATTTTGCCTTTAATTTAGCATTTACTACTTTACCTTTATTTGACAATACACGATATGGCTTACACAGACAGAGTGACTCGTGCTGGCCAAACTCCTGCTAGATAGGCCCAAGGCGTCATCAGCGTTATCAGTTGTCCTTGCTAAACGCAACATCGCAGCTCCAATATTCGGCTCGCGAGCATAGACCAGTCTCAATCACGTGACCTTCATGCACAAAATTATTGTAGAGACCTCTATTTTTTTTAAATTACTTGTTAAAAAGAGTACTTTGTGATGGTGTATTTTAGATTTTTATAAACAAATTACTGTAATCTATAGACACGTTTAAACAATTGATTTTTTTCATTAACTTTTAGTGTTTCGCTCAAATACTACTGCTAACTCAATATTGACTCTAGCTCATTATATATATGAATTCAAAGAAGACAAAATTTTCATTTGAAAATTGACAAAATTTCGATGAAATTTTTTGTTGCCATAATTTTGTTGAGTAGTGTATTAATAGAGAGTTCGAATCATAAGTACTAATTTACTAATTTACGGACGTTTTTGAACCGCTATAGCCACCTTTAATAATGATAAAAAATTCAGTACTAAGGTTGGGGTTGGGGTTCTTTCAAAACATTAAACATCAATTTTTTCTATTTCAAGGCATTGATAAATTTTTTAATAATTGATCAAAATAGGTAACTATATTTTATTCTACTATACGTACCATATACATGCCATCCAATGCGCTATCAATGCAAAAGTCGCCATCAAGAGTACTAATACAGCAGCACCATACTCGCTATATCTATCAATTTTCCTCGCTACTCTGACAAGTCTCAATAATCGAGCTGTTTTTAACAAACCAATCAACGTAGTAGTCTGAAATAATGATAAAAAATATTTATAGTTTTTTTAACGTTAAAGTATTTATTATTAAGGTAGTATTTACCGACGATTGAACTAAAAAAGAAATATTATTTCGGGCTATTAATGCATTGTAGGGAACTGCCTCTATATAGGTGCGTTTGCAATCGTACGCAGTTTTGCTGTTTTAAATTAGAAAAGAAAATATAGAAAAATAAATTGATAGACCCAATTATTGGTGATTGAATTATGAATGATTTTGAAAAAATCAGGGTTATGTATGAAAATTTTTCTCGCTTTCAGTTTCATTTTACAATAATTTTATAATAAACTATAATAATATTTTCATTCCTCTAATAGTTGCTAAAAATACTTCAAGATTTCAACTTTAATTAAGTTGTCACATCTTAAGATCTTGAGTGTTTCGGTAAAATAAAAAAATGAAATCAAACATAAAATCTCTGGATTATACAGATGTTTTGATTACAATGTGGACAATTTCATTTTTGACTTGGAGACTTTCATCGCTGGAAATAGATCTTGTGCAAATCATATTATTGTGGGCGACTTTAATATTGTTCTCATAAAGTTTGACAAAAAAGCAGAGAAATATTTTTACTGTTTATCTGAGAATGGTTACCAAGTAATGATAAACTCTTGCACGCATCCGGTTGTGACTGAGGGATTGTAGAGAAAGTGTCCGCTGTGAACTCGCGAACGAAGATCTGTTTTGGCTATCGTGGAATAACATCGCGCTGCGACACTTGTAAGACTCGTGTTTTGACGAGGCTGATCCGGGAGATATTCGACGATGCACTATCATTACGAGTTGGAATTGTTGTACAGCGGTGCGACCGAACAATATACTTAGACAGCGGTCCTTCATCTATCTTGTAAGTAACAACTCTTCCTTTCGCGTGGTTACTCTCCATCAGGACCCTTTTTGCTCTCGTTCTGCTGCTGCGACGCGACTCGCGGTCGGGATAAATAACTACACGGAGAAAAATTTATAGTAAAAATTGCTATAGGTCTTAATAAAAGTGTGACATCTTTGAGGTTAGGGAAAAATTTACTAAAATCCTTTGTAATTTTTACTATATTTCTCTCAATTTTTATTTAATTTCTTATAATTTTTATACATTTTATAGCAACTTTTCACCCGAACGTCAAAGATGTCACACTTTTATTAAGACCTTTAGTAATTTTTCCAAATTTTTAAGAAATTATTACTATATTTCTTCTCTCCGTGTAGTATTAATTATTATGATCACCATTCATTTTAATACTTAACTTGAATTACCTTTCTATAAACACTATCATATATCTTACTCGAATGCATAGTCTCTTTGCCCGCTGGGTGACCATCCTTGCTTACAATATTGCGGACAAATACCTACGCGGCCTCCGTGGTACAAATTAATCTTACGAGCTAGCATTTGCATACATAACGCGTGCCTCCACTAGGCCAACTGTTATATTGCTTATAATAAATTACGTAGGACGTGACAGGTTTATGTCGATGGATGAAGTCTATTATTAATTGCAACATATTATAATAATAAATTTTGTTTTTTTGAACAAGTAATCGCGTTAAAATGGTCTTTCCTATTTTTTCTCTATAGATTTACATACAACTCAATGACTCTTCATAAAAACTCGTCCTGCTACATGACTGGGGCATAATAGGTTTTTCGACGTTGTCACGATCAAAGCATTTTTAGGTACAATAACGATTAAAATCATTATAAAAATGATTCTTTTGCATAGTTTGGATGTTAAAAATAGTAGGACTGTACTTATGTAAATCGATGTGCAAATGAGTGAGTATCCACCCGTTATAGTGCTCATTGTATTTGTTTGTAACAAAATTCTATGCCAAATGAAGACTTTACCTATGAGAGCCTAAAGAATGCACTTATATAGCCTATAAGATTTATGAAAAAATTCTTTGGGCCTAATTGGTACTTGAAACCCTTGTCAATGATATTTTTCCTTCAAAGAACATGTAACACTAAAAATACTATTGGTTTTTGATTTCTGAATGTAAGCTTACAAAAATACCTAAAATTTGTAATGCGTTTCTACTTTTGACTAAAAAATGTCAGTCATTTCAGGCCTTGCTTAAAAACTTTAGATATGTCCTAAACTTTGTCAGGCTTTTCGTGTATCTCCTAAAATCTTTGGCATTTCGGTATTTGCCTAGGCAATTTCGGCTTTTGCCGGTAACACGTAGATAATTGTACCGATTGCTACATATTATGTCACGTTATATGTGCATGCATGATCAGAAAATATAACGCGATGAGCTTGGGTAGTAATTTTGATAAAATTTTCGACGTACTCACATAATGTTCAGAGCACGTGTATCATCATACGTAAGGTTGAGAGTGTGTTAGCTTGAATATTTAGATTTTGTTATGAAGGAAAGTGTTCATGGTGAACTTCATCATGTGAGGGTCATAGGTAAATCCAAAGATTTTATTTTCTAAAACAACTCTTTGTTAATTTTGATAATAAGACATTTTTCGCTAAATAAAAAATATTAATAGAATTATGGATTAATACAGATTAATTTTTACTTACTTCATCAGTATTTGAACCGAATAATAACAAATCGAATGGAATAGCTGCTACAAGGTCAATTATAAACCATCCTTTCAAATAATGCACAGCAATTTTTCCAGGGTGCGAAACAACTTCATCATTACTATTAACAAAAGTTGTGCGAAAGTTGATTAGAATATCTACGATGAACGTGACGTCAACTGAAAAAAAAAGTTCGTTTAATACTCAGAATTATGAGATTTGTTGTGAAACGAAATTTAAAAATTGTTAAAGTCACGTAGTAAACGTGTATTCCACAGTACCCATGTATATTAGACTGTCCGTTATTTCCCGAATTGCTCCAATCCTCCCTCTCACCCCTTGAAAGCTCATCATTTGGCTCACAATGAAAGAAAATCACTATCTGACCGCGATTAATTAACTCTAGATAGTGCCACACGCGTCAGCTTTTTTCCCATTTAAATAACATGGGGAAATTTAGAAAAAATGTAAATTGAAGTTTTAAACCACTTAAAATCGCTAAACCATGGGATTAGCGACGGTTTTCACTTCCTGGTACCCCCTTAATGAGTAACCAATACTAACGGGAACCCTCCGAAAAGAATATAGGATTTTGCACACACGATATACTCAAAAAATCAAGAAAAACAGCATATAAGCGTTGTTTTTCGATATTTTACAACAAAACTTAGCGTAGACCATTATTTTAGATATGTTAACGTCAAAGTAGAGATCGAGACCTTTGATTTGAGGGTAATAAAACCTATCTACGTTCATTAGAACCAAAGTTACAGGCGTTTGAAGTTTCATTGAAAATTCAGGTATCGAATCTCGTCCGACCGCCCAAACGCGCGACTCGCGACTCGCTGAAATCGCAACTCGTACAAATGATAATGTAATTAAACTAGAAAAATAATCAAAAATATGGTTTTTATGCGTTTTTTTCTCAGCTTTCACGTGGTGTAATCGAATTTTTCGATAATTTACACGTTCACTTGGAAAAACAGGAAATAAATGTTCAAGTCCATTTTTCCGTACGAAAATGAAAATTATTGAAAAATCCGACTACACCACGTGAAAGCTGAAAAAAAACTCATAAAAACCATACTTTTAATTATTTTTCTAGTTTAATTACATTGTCATTTGTACGAGTTGCGATTACAGCGAGCCGCGAGTCGCGCGTTTGGGCGGCCGGACGAGATTCGATACCTGATTTTTCAATGAAACTTCAAACGCCTGTAACTTTGGTTCTGATAAACAAAAATAGGTTTTATTACCCTCAAATTAAAGGTCTTGATCTCAACTTTGACGTGAATATATTTAAGATGATCGTTAATGCTTATTTTTGCTGTAAAATATCGAAAAACCACGCCAACATGCTGTTTTTCTTCATTTTTTGAGTATATCGTGTGTGCAAAATCCAAAATTCTTTTCGGAGGGTTCCCGTAAGTATTGGTTACTCATTATGGGTGTACCAGGAAGTGAAAACCGTCGCCAATCCCAAGGTTGAGCGATTTTAAGTGGTTTAAAACTTCAATTTAAATTTTTTCTAAATTTCCCCATGTTATTTAAATGGGAAAAAAGCTGACGCGTGTGGCACTATCTAGAGTTAATTAATCGCGGTCGGATAGTGATTTTCTTTCATTGTGAGCCAAATGATGAGCTTTCAAGGGGTGAGAGGGAGGATTGGAGCAATTCGGGAAATAACGGACAGTCTAACGTGTATAGGCCTGATCTAACGCGTCGGCGCAGGTTGGCCGCGTACATCCACACGTAAGGTGTGCGTTGGTCGCTTACGCTCGCACATACATTCACGCGACAGCTCTTGCCTGTCCCTGTGTTCGTTTGTCGGTCTTATTTTCATCATTTTAAATTATTATATTTAAATTTTACAATATTTAATGCTAGGTTATTGGTATATAACACTAATTAACAACATGGAGAAACTGACTGACTGACCTCTTGTGAACTAACTGGCCTCAGCTCACAAAATTGTCAGTTAAATTCATATCGACCGATGGAATGGATTTACACCATATCACGGGGTTGCGGACACCTCAAAGCGAGCCTACGCTGCCGTCGTTTATGCTCGCATAGTTTATAAAGACAAAATATATGTCTCATATAACAAAGTATTTGTAAAATTTTGCGTTACTTATCTATTAGCAAAACTAGCTCGACAATTTGTTTTCGCCTACGACCCCTTTGCATCTGTGGTTTAATTAAAAAAATGTGCTACATTGGCTCAATGCTATCCCTTCTAAATGGCCAGTATTTGTGGAAAATCGCTGTTCAGTCATCCACGACTTGGTTCCAACTGCGAATTGGTACCATCTGTCTACGTAGCTTCCTGCGATATTTCTCCAAACCACTTGTTGCTTTGTGATGCTAGTTTAATGGGCCTGCATTATTTCGTCGGATTAAATCCAAATAACCCCCAGTTTCAATTCCGAGACTCGACCCTCAAAGCCCTCCATAAATGTCACACAGCCAAGGACCCATTCGACTGCGCTACCGATGAATTTTTCACTGTTTTGTACCATTATTTTTCAAAATGGGAAAGACTGCAATGAGGAACTGCTGATTGTCTACGGTTCATGCATCGATATATTCATAGCACGATAGAGAAAAGAATGGTGAGAAAGTCTCCCTTTACAAGCCAGTCTACCTTTCATCGAGCCATTCATTTTTTTAACTCAACTCTTGTCCATCAAAGAGCTAGAAAATGTTAACTTATTAATAATTTTCGCTCGTCATCAAGTGCACTTTGCTCTGGAGCACAAATTCCTCAAACACCAAAGCAAAGACACGCCAAAGTCTATTTGTTTGCCTGCTTCTAGCTGACTTAAAAAGTTTACCCTAATTTCTAGTAGATGGACTCATACAAGTAAGCAGAAGGTTAAGTAACTTGTTGTTCGACCCTGATGCCAAGCACCCCTGATATTGGCAGGAAACGATCACATTTCTTTCTCATTAATTGTTTAATTACATAGATTATGTTAGTTTATCATTTTGTTCATGCATATCTCACATTTAATAATCTCAATGATTCCTCCTTTTTAGCGCTACACACAGATGTCGAGTGTGTTCGCAAGACTCACTCTTATATAACTGTAATTCTTATTCGCTTAGCTCTCGTCGTCACGATAGCATGCGCTCTGCATTTCAATAAAGTTTACTTAGTGTTCATAATCATTGCCTTGTTACTTTTACCCATTCAACAGCTTATGGGCCCAGGAACACGCAAAACATAACCGAATGAGTAAAATTTGCCAATCAAGTGTACTTTAAAAGTGTCAAAAACGAAGGCTTCGAAAGTGAGGTTAATATCATACGCGCAACATCGATCCGGACTCAAAATGTCCGAAAATCAATATACAACGCACACTCTGCGCTTCGAACTGCTTACACGCGAAAATTACGATACTTGGAGAATTCAAGTAGAAGCATTGCTCATCAAAAACGACGGCTGTGACTACGTCTCGGGCACGGCACCGGCACCAGAAATAGTGACAGGAACAGGAGCGGCCGCGAGTGAAACAGTATACAAAACCTGGCTAACAAAAGACCGAAAAGCTAAATTGGACCTAATTCTCTCCATCCGAATTGAAGGAGATGAAAAATTGCGTCTCATCACACGACGTGTGGGAAAAACTCGAGTCTACGTACGCATCCAAGATGCCAGCTTGAAAAGCCGCACTACATAAGCAGCTCACTCAACACAAAATGTCCGACAGCGATAGCATGGTCAAGCACCTAAACGGCTTCTTCGACGCATCCGATAAATTAAGGGGAGTCATACACCAATTCACTTCTCTTTGTCATTTTTGTGATATAAACCACAGTTTAATGTCAATCTACATTTTCAACACAATATTGACATTTTTTAGGGCTCAAAGATGTCAATTTTATGTTAAAAATGTAGATTGACATTAAACTGTGGTTTGTATCACAAAAATGACAAAGAGGACTAAATTAGTGTATGACTCCCATTAAAGTCGACTGGAGCAAATCTCAACGACGATTTACTAGAAATCATGCTGCTGCAAAGCCTACCAAATAGCTTCGAAAATTTTAGATGTGCGATCGAGTCACGTAATAAGCTACCTGAGCTCGAGATTCTCGATGATCGAAGATCATAGATTTCATCACAGAGAAGACATAAATCACCATAGTTCGGTGATGTTTACACATACGCGACCCAACCCCAATCGCACGTCAGGCAGCTCTTCCACGAAATCCTCGCACGGCAACTCTACATTGCCAAAAAAAGCCAACCTACAAATGCTGCTACTGCAAAAAAAAAGGACACAAAGAGGCCGATTGCTACAAAAAAAAAAGAAAAACATACAAGAGTCAAAAGGCGATAGCTCGAACCTTTGTTTCTTTACCGGCACAGCAATGAACACGCGATGGTGCTTGGATAGCGGTAGCACCTTACACGTATGCAGCGACAAAGACCGATTTCAAAATACATCTCGCACTAGAGGCCACCTGCAACTTGCCAGTGACGCCACAGTAGACATCTGCGCCAAAGGTGACGTAAGCATTAAAACGAGTGAGAACTGCCAAAGCATAACCTTGAAGGACACACTATACGTGCCTGATCTCCGAACAAACTTAGTCTCGGTGGCTAAAACCGTAGATTCTGGCTTTAAAGTTACTTAGTGTTCATAATCATTGCCTTGTTACTTTGACCCATTCAACAGATTACTACTGCACGGAGGCATTCAATTGACCGTGATTACTGCGAGACGTTTCTATTGGTTTTTAATGAATAGGATGGTTATACAAGCCAAAATTTCCATTGCTGCAAGTGTCGACAATTTGCCGGTCATACACAGAGTCAAATGATGGCTAATCTTTCACCATCTCGATCCATCCCTACTCCAGGGTCCGGCGTTAACTAAACCTGTCAAATAGCTGTTTGAATGTCCAAAACGAAGGGTAGAAGTACTCTCAAAGGATGTATAGTGGTCTACATTTGCATGGTTACTAAGTGCGGACACTTGGAGGTGGTGGATGATTATACAGCCGAATCATTCATTGCACATTTCATCAATTTACTTCTCGACGCGATCATTGTACCAATCTTTTCAGTGATCAGGGGACTAATTTTTTAGGCGCTGAACTTGAACTGAGAAAAATGTGGTAAGGCATGAAGAGCTCTCATTTTCTTAACGAAACCCTGGTGACTCAACGACACTCAACGGCACTTAATTTAACCTTTCTGCAGCTCCTCATTTTGGCGAACTGTGAGTGGCAGCCGTCAATTTAACTAAATTCCACCTCAAACGAGTCATTGTAGACCAGACTTTGACCTTCGCTAAGGTTTGTACTCTGTTATGTAAGATCGAGGGACTTAAATTAGCATTTATTGGCCTGTTTGAATGATGACTCTACTGAGTCCTTTGATGCCAATATTTTACTTCATAGAGAATATTATTTTGTACATGAACCGAAGCTTACTGATGACAGAATTTCACTACTCCTCTGCTGGACTTTGTTGTCTCAAGGAGTTCAGAAATGTTGGCATCGATGGTCTCTTGAATACCTCGCAGCTCTTCTAACACAGGGCAAATGGTTTTCTTCTCGCAAATTTCTATCCTAGAACAAATTTCCCTTCAGACCGGGCCTCTCGAACGAGTGGTTCAAGTTGATCACAACCCTAAGACTCTTTTCGAGTAGTTGATGTAAAAACAAAAACCTCTTCGTTGACTTGGCTCGAATTCGGCCAACGATAAATTATTTTAATTTGCTTACTTTATAAAAATGATAAAACTGATCATTAATTATAATTTATTTAAGAATATTAGTATTTTGTTGATCGATAGTTACTCACTTGAAGCGAACCTGCGCCAGAATATTTTATTAAACCCTGATTTATGCACATCTTATCATTTATTTTTATGCAAGCCTTTTTTCCATTGGTGCATCAACTTCGGGAGCATGTTCAATAAGCATATTGCAAGGTACGTAGCGCACAGTGCCTCTCCGGCGGAATTGCGATCCGCTCCGCGCTGCACGAACAGAACAAACGCCTCACATTGTTTCTTGCGACTATTCTACTTATAAAAAAAGAGATGGACCTCAAAGTGATGCATCGTTAAACGACCTCTGATTGGCTGACACTGACGACGACGTCCGACGCGAGCCGACTTGATACGAGCGCCTGCGCTGCTAACTGTCAACAGACAGTTAGTATTAAAGTAACCTCAAAACACGAATGGAAAAATTTATACTCATGAAGCGCTTTTGAAACTTACCATTTCTGAACTATTTTTGAATCTTAAACTAACCTCAAAACACGAACAAAAAAATTGACACTTGCGGAGCGCGTTTGAAACATCGACGAACAACGAGCCTTGCGTCCATGCGTCTATCAATACTCTAAACCCAAAAGAGTAATTTTCGAACCTCAAAAGAGTAATCTGCACGATTTACTCTTTTAAAAAGAGTAATGCGCGCAGATTACTCCTTTCACTTTAACGCTAGAACTAAACAGAGTAATCTGCGCGGATTACTCTTTTTCGAAAAATGCTTAGCGGAGAAAGGAGGAATTCGTTTCAATTACTCTTTTTAAGAATGCAGATTACTGTCTTTGAATATTTAAGAATATTTTTTATTGTATATGTCCGATTCTCTGTGAAGTCTAATGGTTAAAAAAATTTTTTTTCTGCAAATATGAAAAACTTGTTGTATTTGATGTCAGATGTGTCCCAAAAACTTTTTAGAAAAATTGGGGCCTTCTATGACACTTTTTCAGAGGCCCAAAGTTGGCCATTATAGCGTTTTTTCTAAATTCATGAAAAATCACAAATATTCAAATAATTCCTAGATTAAAGTACAATGATTCAAAAGTAAAAGCGACCAAGAACTTTTTTGTTGTAAATTGTCCAAATTTTCAGAAAAAAAATATGTCAAAGTGATTGGAGCTACTTAAAAGCGTATAGAGTGGAAAAGAATTGAAAAAAAAAAACAAGAAATCTAATCGAGTTTGAACCGGACTTTCATTTCTAAAACTAAGTAAAAAGCTTCCTAAAGATGTAAACTACTGCTTAATAAAGTTTTGTAATGGGTCTTAAAGTTGAACGCAATGTAGACATCAATATGTGTCGAAAAACGTGCAAAAAAGGTCAAAAATAGGCTCAAAATGCCTAAAATAACCAAAAACACCCATTTTCACACCTTTTTCGCACGTTTTTTGACACATATTATTGTCTACATTGCGTTAAACTTTAAGACCCATTACAAAATTAACTCATTCTACTTTAATCTAGGAATTATTTGAATGTTTGTGATTTGTCATGCATTTGGAAAAAATGCTAAAATAGCCAACTTTAAGCCTCTGAAAAAGTGTCATAGAAGGTCTCAATTTTTCTAAAATTTTTTGGGGATAAATCTGACATTAAATACAAGTTTTTCATATTTGCAGAAAAAAAATTTTTTTGGCCATTCGACTTCACAGAGAATCGGACATATATAATAAAAAATATTCTTACATATTCAATCTTTACCAAAAAAAGGAATTGAAATGAATTCCTCTTTTCTCCACTCAGCATTTTTCGAAAAAGAGTAATCTACGTTGTTTACTCTTTTTAAAAGAGTAATCTACGTTGTTTACTCTTTTTAAAAGAGTAATTCGCGCAGATTACTCTTTTTAGTTCTAGCGTTCAAGTGAAAGGAGTAATCTGCGCGCAATACTCTTTTTAAAAGAGTAAATCGCGCAGATTACTCTTTTAAGGTTCGAAAATTACTATTTTGGGTTTAGAGTGAATGAAGCTCCCGCATCCGGAGCCATCTTGTGAGTGTTGTGGATGCGGCAGCCTAGGCTTGTTGGTGGACGCATGATGGTGCCTGAAGCGAGAACCACACTAACAAGATGAAACCAACACGGCAACTTGGGGACTTGCCAGCCTTGGTTTGCCGGGCGGAGACAGAAGAGAAAACCCACGCCCTACGGCACATCCTTGTATCAGCAGGCAAGAACTATACCCACTGAGCCAAGGAGGCCGGTGGCCGCTGTGTGTGTGTGTGTGTGTGTGGGTGTGTGGGTGTGTGGAACAAGTTTTTTCAATAATGAGACGGTGAATGATATTAAAATCAACTGCATTTATTGTCGATGAGGTTAAGGATGAAGCTTGAAAAAATTTCATTTTGATTCGTGCATTTCAAAAGTTATTAAAATTTTTATATTATTTATTTATTTATTTTTAAAATTGATTAATTTTCTAATTTTTGACAGGATAAAGTCGTCCGTTGAAGTATTTGAACACGGGTTTCTAAAAAGGAACAGTTAAACTTCAATTTAAGACAACAAAAGTTAAGATTCATCGATTAACCACATAGTTACATAGTAAAAACGAAAATATTTTTTTTCATTTTCTGATAATTAAATTATAGATTTTTAAAACTTTAAGTGAGTTTTTGAGTGTACGAGAACTGATTTTGAAAAAAAAACAGCAAAAATTGGATTTTTATTAGTATATATAAATAAAACTAGGGAAGTTATTTCCCAATGTAGGCAGTGTTTTTATTGGCGATTTCAATTTACATGTATGCGATACCACGTAATTTGGTGGTCTTGTGACGAGGAAACAACGTTGGCTTGAGGGTGACTACAAGTTGTCTGCCTGTCACTGTTTTATCGATACAGCCAGCGTTGACAACTTTTGACTGGAACAGTACTATAACTATGTTGTATAACAATATTGTCACGGTGTAGAAACGTATCAAAATGTAAAACATGACAATAAACATGTTTTTACTTATTAAAATCGCTACACAATATTGAAGAGCGATTTAAACGGCAAGGTATCATTCGTACACATGAAACTTGTACACGGGTATTTCTGTACACATGTAAAATGTGTCCAATATTAGTACACATAATCAAACTTTTTTTTAAATTCAGAAAATTACGATTACGACTATTTTTTTTAATTGTTTGAAAAAAAGTTCGATTATGTGTACAAATATTGGACACATTTTACTTGTGTACAAAAATGCCCGTGTACAAGTTTCATGTGTACGAATGATACCGCCATTTAAACGGTCCAAACCCAGAAAAATATAAAAATGGATTGAAACGGAGGTACTGGTATAGGTTGGCAATGTCAGATACATTGATAAAACAGTGACGAGCAGACAACTTGTAGTCGCCCTCAAGCCAACGCTGCGCGGAAAACTCTGCTTCACTCGGATTATGCACCCTCAGACAATTTAGCTTAAATTCACAACATCAACAACAAATAGTTGTAATGATAATATTGATAATTTAATATTTGCTAAATTGAAACAACATAGAAAAGTAAGGAAGATTCATTTTTTGAGTAAAAAGTTCCCTGAAGTGTTTCTTCCTTTTAAAAAATTGTATGAATTTTTTAAAAATATTTATAATTACCTATTAAATCAATTATTATCATTGGATCTTCCCCGTAATTATCAAGATTAGTAGTACTTTGATTTCGATCTGACTCAGGAAGCAAAAAAGCAGCCACGTACGGCGTGAATATAGCTGTGTATATTACTAAAAGTAAAATTATCCAATCCCAAACAGCTTTGAATGGTGAATAATGTAGAATAGTCCATTTGTGAATTCTTGGTGATTGCAGTTTATATTCTGGTAGAACGTCGGCTCCAAGAGAAAGTACCTAAATTTTTTAGATGTATCTTTCTTCAATTTTTCTTCGTTTTCAAAAAAATTATCTCTTTAAACAAAATATTCCGAAAAATTCGTTACCTCTTTGCGCAAATTATTTTTAAGGGGAAGTTGATTCCCTCCATTTTCAATAAGAAGACTTTTACTACTTTCTCCCTTAAGTCGAATACCATTCCATTTTTGCTTCGAAACATCAGATTGATCAACATGTTTGGATAAATCATTTGTTCCGTCACTTTTACCTTTTAATGCTCCCAAAATTGAAGGTGAAACGGGTACATCAAATTGTCCAAGAAGATTTTCGGCCATTTTTAAATTGATCAGACCAACGTATTAAATTACTGAAAAAATTGTAAAGTTAATCTTAAGTGGAGACATCAGTTTTCAGGGATAAATATTCCATTAGCTACAGTGAAAATAACATAGGCACACAAAAAAAAGGTTCAGTTCAATTTTCAAAACTGCATTTCCTCTATAACCATAAAGATCAGTTCTTAGAAAACTATGGAAATTTTAGCGACGAGAAAGGAGAACGATTCCATCAAAAGATAAAACATATGGATCAGCGATATCAAAATCGAGGTAAATGAGATGTTGCGAAGATAGCTGATTACTGCTGGATGTTCCCTTAATAAAAAAGTTTAATTCTTCAGCTCCAAAAACCTATACATAATCTTTTTCCGTTATTTTATCGCGTTCACAAGATTCAACCTTAAAATTACTTTTTATTGACCTTAAATTGATCTTCAAATGACCAGGTATAGTCAAAATGACCTTTTCGAGGATTCAGCATCCTCGAAAACCTATATAGGAATTGTTTCAGATTTTATAATTTTTTTTTCATGATTTGATCTTCAAATGACCTTAAACCGATTTGATTTTAAAAAATCGACACTGGATTCGGATTCAGCGACCCCAAAAACATCAAGTCTACTAGGTTAGGTCTCTGGAACCGAACATTTTTTTTGTGTACCTGAGTAATTATAGCAAATATTTAAGTAACTTCTATTTCAGTACGGAGCAACATGAACGGAAAAGTGCAAAAGAGCTGTTAATGGAAATTGTCCAAATTTTGATAAAAAAATATATATTTTGATAAAAATATATATATTTGAATAGCTCTGAGGATCTTGTACAATGAAAATAGATAATTAGGAACACACAACTCAAAATCGAATCAAGTCCAATTCGGATCATCTTATCCAAAAAGATTCAAAAAGCTTTCTCAAAATCTCAAATTTTACTTGCTAAATTTTTGAAAAGTGCTTCGGAATAAAACGATCTGAAGGCATCGAAGTCTGTTGAAAAACTTGCAAAAATCGTTTAAAAAGCGTTACTTTTAGTGATTTTAGACGTTTGGGGTTTTTTATCGAAATTTTCGGCATGTTTTTCAATACGCATTTATGTTAGTTAATCTTTCAAGTAACTTTCTGATCGTTTTTTAATTTAATTTTTTTTATTTAAAAACTAACCAAAAAAGGAGAATCATGCGAAAACTACGTTTTTTGGCTCAAAAATGTTGCATTAAATTACGTTGTTTTCACATTTTCAGATTATATTGGATAAAGCTGCTGAATGTTAAAGAGAAAAAATTGATTTTTCCAATTTTATTTAAACGGGAAATTAAAATGCTAGTTCTACTAGATTGAGCCGAATATAATTGTAACTTTATATTTATGCGATATGGAAGTCATTAAAACTGATACATCGAGGTTTTGAAGACCTTCAATTTTTTTAACTGGCCTATTATTACAATGCTGTTGCGAACTGGTATGAAAATTAAAAGTATGTAGAAAAATGTAAAATTCGAGTGAACGAATCACTTGAGTATTTTTTTAATTTTAAAAAAATTTCATTTTTTCTCTATTTTTAAGTAAATAAAATCATATTTAGAATTCCAAATTTATATAGGAAAGATAATGTAAAAATATATGAAAATTGTAGCTGTAGTGATCATGTAATAAGATATTTATAAATGAATTAGCTGTCTAAAATCGCTAGTAGTAATGCACTTTTGTACATGCTAATGTAGTTCATGATTTCATATGATAGTTTTTAGTTCTAATTCAATATTTTTTTGGTACCTCTTACGTAGAGGATTTTATAAATTATGAATATATTAAGATGGTCATTTATGATAATTGAATTTGTACAAACTCTTTTATATAAATTATATCTAAGGAGTTCTTATTTACAATAGCAAATCTCTTGAAATCGCATACCTGTATAATTCCAGTCTTTTTTATTCTGTTCTATATCCATTAATTGTCTTGATTGCATGCATACATGTTTCTATGTAAGCGATAGGAAATTTCATTGCAAGATATTGTTGAGAACGTGGTTAACTTGGATCGATTAACAATGATAAATTTAAAATAACGTACGTATGAAATCGAAAAAAAAAATTTGATTTTAGATAATTCCATAAAATTGTTGCATATCTTTTTGAACTTACGATGTTTGTTATAGTATATTAGTATTAGTTCATATAAAAAAAAGGTAATCACATTGTTGAAGGTAAAATGATTCAGAAAACTCAATCATAAGATTAATTTTAGAAATGTTGAATAACTAGATTTTTTTCTTCGTTTTTGTTTTGTTTTGAGCACATATTTACCTCACGTTACTTTAGGTGCTTCTTTTCATACAAACTTAATTGTTTTATATTTGATATCTTGCATTTATGCGCGGTAAAGTTGCGCAGAACTATTAGGTAGTGTTAATTTTACTAAAAATTGTATTTTTTCAAAATCTATTAAAACTTTTTTGTTTTTATTTTAGGAAACTTTGAAGAAATCATTCAACAGATATTTTTGGAATTTTATGAGTTTCCTCGAAACGACACTGTAGACTTTTGATGAAAATTGAAAAAATGTAAATTATAATTCTTTTTTGCCCAATATGTGAGTATTTTGGCCTATAATGGCCAAAAATTATTTAAACTCGTGCTAAACTATCAAATTTTATTTATTTTTTGCTTTTCCTTCGTCCAATCACTAATAATAAACTTTGAAAAATTTGTCGAATTTTTGGTTTCCGATGATCCTATCCGGAAATATCGTACCTACCGCAGGATAACAGGATGACCGAGGAAAACTGATGAAAAATGAATAATTTTCAATACTTTTATCCGAAATTTTTATAGAACTTCTTTAACGGATAAACTTCATTGTATAAAAATTTCAAATTTTTATTTACTTTTGGTTATTAAAATATGATTTCACAAAAAAATAGTACTTTATGCAATAGTATGACGAAAAATGTCTTTTTTCTCACATTTTTTAGTGCGAATAAAGCGTTTTTGGACGCTTGTGTGCAGTAAAATATTTAAATGAAAGTATTTTTCGCTTACTATTGCATAAAATTTTGTATGCACACGTGCCCAGCTTTTTGCGCACAGTGTGCGGAAAAGAAGCCCGGCCGGTATGGCCGACACTCATGTCTTTTTCGCACACTTGTGCCCAAAAACGCCTTTTGGGCACTTGTTGCATAAATAACTATTTCGTCACACAAAGGTATTTAATCTATTTAGTGCCACCGCTTATTATACCTGCTGTGGGACTTTTATGTTTCTTCTGGACTAATTCAGTGAGATTACTGAAAGTTTACGATTCTTTTTATGCAGCCTATAGACATTTTCCAATAGCGATATAGGCTCAGTTCAATATGGGTAAAAACACCAATAATGCCCCAACGCCAAGCGCAGGCAGCAATAAATGCTCAGTTCAATTTTCGAGAAATCAAAAAAAAGTTGGTCTCGATACGATATATGAATATAGACCAAGATAGAAGCATTTGAAAATTGACAAAATTACGATGATAATTTTGTTGAGTAGTATATTTACCGACAAGTCGTAGCTATGACGAAAGGAAGTCAAGTACTTTCGTGTTGCTCTTTGCAGACGCGTTTGCATGCCGAGCTGTTGGTTTTTCCTGATAAAGTATTGTCAAGTAAGGACAAGCTGCCTTATTTGAGGTGAGTCAAAATTTCGACGAATGTAGATATATGCCTTTATATGTGTGGAATTTCTTTGTAGAATAAATAATGCTGCACAGTACACTTTTGAATGGTTTAGAATAATTTATTATATAACAATATGCAAAGCCTTAATAATGGCTACAGGAAATAAAATGAATATAATTGGTACAAAAACTTATGAACATGACGTGGCTTGGCCAAAATCAGTCAGACGAGTGCTGGCTAGAGAAACGCGTCTCTTTTCTTTCTCGACTAACCAACAAACAATGCCCTCTGCAGGAAACAAAAATAATTAAACTTAACACTCTTCCTTAATTATTTTAAATATTAAGTTTTCAAATAATGTCCTGGAAAGAGGCTTTGTCAAAAAATCAGCTAATTGATCCTCACTTCTGATGGACTTCAAATTTACTGTTGTGCCAATATGTTGCTGAATAAACTTCCTTGAAATATCAATATGTTTTTTTCCTTTCGTTACCTTACCCTCATGAGTATTTTCAAGCATGTGTATTGCTGACCTATTATCAATGGAAAGTGGAGTAGGTTTATCCAAGTCCAGGTGTTGAAGTTCATGAGCGAGACGACGAATCCAGGAAATCTCATCCAAGGCAGCAACTGCGGCTCGATACTCTGCTTCAGCAGTAGAGTTTGCTACAAGAGGTTGCTTCTTAGTGATCCATACTAACGGTCCTCCTCTCAGCACAATGACACCAGTTGTAGATTTTCCAGTGACTTCGTCTCCGCCAAAATCAGAATCACAATATGCAACAAGTTCTCTGTTACCATTAAAGTGAATCCCATAGTGTAGAGTTCCTTTTACATACTGCAGTACTCGTTTTATCATCTTCCAATGAATGACCATAGGCTTATTGTTGAATCGACTTAAATAGTTGACACAAAAATTAATGTCAGGACGAGAGACCGCAGCAAGGTATAACAAGCTACCAATAACCTCTCTATAAGGATATGATTCATCTTATGGCTTATTGTTTACGAACTTGTCTGCATCTGCTAATAAGCTGGATTCAGGTCCAGACTTGATTTGCATACCGATATAAGTAAGTGATTCATCCTTGCCAGAATTGAAACACGTGTAAAACAATCATAGTGTTGCAGCCGTTATCATAGTAAACGCACGGATCATCGTCTGCAGGCTCGAAATGTAAAGATTTCAGAAACTTTGTAAATCTTCCATTCCAGTTCCTCGGCGCCTGCTTCAAACCGTACAGACTCTTTTTAAGCAGACACAATTTATTTGACTTGTCACTGAAGCCTTCAGGTTGAAACATAAAAATCTGCTCCTCCAAATCTCCATGAAGGAATTGAACGTCGAAATACATAACTTTCATGTTTTCAGATGCAGCTATACTAAGAATCAGGAGAACAGACGTATGACGAGCTACTGGACTAAAGACATCAAAATAGTTCTGCCCATATGTCTATTCAAAACCACGAACAACCAAGCGTGCCTTATATCTGCCATCCTCCTTCAAACAGAACACCCATCGACAAGTCAAGGGTCTGGCATCTTTCGGTTTATTCACTAGAACCCAAGTTTGCTTTTTTATCAAAGACTCGTACTCATCCAGCATAGCACTTCTCCATTTTGGATCTTTCATCGCTTCAGAAACAGAGAGCTTTACTTCCCCATACATTTCTGACTGAACTACAGGCATCATTAATGCAGTGTCCGTTACGTAGTCGTTGAACCTTGCAGGCGGTTTTAAAGTTCTCCGATCCCTCAATGTTCTGCTTGCTACGACGATAGGAGCTTCAACTTGACTTTCGGGTTCACTTACGTCATCTTCGTTTTTAAAACTTTGGAAAGCTTTTTGTCCGATTCTTCCGTTTCTGATTGATCGTCTTCAGACGATTCACTTGAGTCCTTTGACTTTTTGTCTTTTGTTCATAATACGTATCCACATCAGGGTGTACTATATTATTGAGGTCAGCAAAGCTTTCTTTTCCAATTTTGTCATCGAAAATGACATTGCTTGAACTTACTACGTCATTGATACTGTCGATATATACTCGAAAGCCCGGAGAATCCAAATCGTATCCGACAAAAATGCTTTTTGTGGACTTCTTTGACATTTTTCCTCGTTTTCGTTCTTCAATGAACACATAGGCATCACAGCCAAAAGTTTTCAATTTGTTAATGTTCAATTTTCGGCCAAACCATAAATCTGCAGGGCTCTTGCCTGGCACAGAGCTTGTACCAGTCATATTCAATGTAAAAACAACATAATTCATGGCTTCACCCCACAGGCAAGTGTCTAAGGATCGAGCATGTATGACAGTGCGTGTAGCTTCGACGACTGTTCTTATCTCTCTTTCGATTCGGCCGTTTTGCTGGGGCGTGTAGGTGGAGGATTTGGTGTGAAATATCCCTATGTTTTCCATAAGTTCCTTGGTGCTGGCATTTTTAATCTCAGTCCCATGATCTGACCGTAGCATCTTGATTGTTCTACCGAATTGATTCTCCACGAGTTTCACGTACAGACGCAATTTTGATATTGCTTCATCCTTGCTCTTCAGGAAATATACAGTCTTATAGTGGGTGAAATCGTCCTTGAAAAGGAGGAAGTCCTTGGCTCCTCCCAGCGACCTAATGTCCATTTCACCTAGATCTACGTGGATCAAGTCAAGAGGAATCTCTGACGGCGATTTTCCTGTTGTAGAGTGAGGTGTACTATTATACATCATTAAATATTTAAACAAGTCGTCTTTCCAGTCAGTTTTTTGAAGTTGACTAATTTTTAGTCTTTTCAGTATATCACGATTCTACCTTTCTACCTCGCCATTCATTTGTGGCCAGTAGGGAATTGTGTGCTCCAGATATATATCATATTCTAGACAAAATGCATCAAATTCTCTGCAGTCTTTGAGCTGCTTTGCATTATCTGCAGTTATAGACCAAGGTGTTCCTAGTCTAGAAAAGATCTCTTTTAATACCTTAATGGTTTCGCTGGCTGTGATGCTTGTCATCACTTTGATTTCTTTGTATCTACTGAAATAATCGACAATCACGAATAGGTAGTGTTTACTAGGCAATGGTCCCAAATAGTCGATTGCTACTTCAGTCCACGCTTTTGTTGGTAATGAACGTCTCTTCATTGGGTGTGGTAAATTTGGAGCTGATACTAAAGTGCATCCCTTGCAACACTTGACAAAATTTTCGGCGTCTCGGTCAATTTTAGGCCACCAAACTTTGGTGCGCAGTCGAGCTTTCATTGACACAATTCCTGGGTGCCCTTCATGTACTGCTTCCAAAACTCTGGATCGCAATGCCTCTGGGATAACAATTTTGTGTCCGCGAAGTAGAATTTTATCTTCAAAACAGAGCTCTGACTCAAAAATCCTGTAGCTGTTAACATCCTGAATCCAATGGTTGTTGTATAGACCTTCTCTGACTAAATTTATTTCTTTATCGGTTTTACTAGCTTGCTTGATTTCGGCTATGGATAAAGCTGTTGGGCATGAGCTTCCTACAATAAGATTAACGTAATTAGTCATTTCGAACGGTACTGTATTTGCATTCAAATACAGCCTAGACAACGGATCTGCAATATTGGTTTTTCCAGGTTTGTATTTTATTCTGAAATTGTATGATTGCAGTCTCAGGACCCATCTTTCGATTCTTGCGCATGATTTTGATTTCCGTCCAAAAATGACCTCAAGTGGCTCATGATCGCTGATCAAGTCGAACGAATCTTTACCTCGTAAGTATATATCGAAATGTTCGACCGTCCACACCAGTGCGAGTGCCTCTTTTTCGGTCTGACAGTATCTTTTTTCACAATCTGTAAGGCTCTTGCTTCCGTAAGCAATAGCACGCGGCCCGTTGTTGTCAATTTGAATGAGAATAGCTCCGAGTCCCACTGGACTCGCATCGGCGATGACTTGAGTTTTGTCTTCGGAATTGTAATATCCAAGTGTCCGAATATTTGTCAACTCATCTTTCAGCTGCTGAAAAGCCTGCTGCTTGTCAGTGGTCCAGTGTTGTTTTATACTTGCTGATTTTCCAACTTTTAGTTTTAGTAGTTGACGCAACGGATCAGTAAGTGTTGAAAAATTTGGTATCCACTTGCCCAGGTATGTTATCTTGACTGCAATAAAACTTTGAAGCTCTTCGATTGTCGACGGCGATCTAAAACTGGCTATCGCAGTAGTGTACTTGTCCATTGGTTTTATACCCTTTAATGACAGTTCATGTCCTAAAAACTGCACCTGTGTAACTCCATAAATGCATTTAGCTTTGTTCAAAAGTATATTGTTTTCTTCCAGAACAACTAATAATTTCCTGAGTCGCAGATTATGTTCATCCAAGTTTGAACCGAAAACGATTATATCGTCAATGAAATTCGTGACTCCTTCACATGGCAACAGAATTCGTTCCAGAATTTTTTGAAAACACTCTGGTGCGCAGGATATCCCAAACATTAAGCGTTTATACTGATGCAGGCCTGTACTCGTGATGAACGTTGTAATATAGCGGCATTCTTCACTCAATTCAACTTGATGAAATGCATTTTTTATGTCGAGTTTTAAAAAAACACTCGCTTTACTAAATTTGGCCAAAAGTTGATCCATTGTTGGTAACGGATGATTCTCACGAATGATTGCCTCATTTGCACGCCTCATGTCTATGCAGATTCTGACCTCACCATTACTCTTTTGAACTGGTACCATCGGCGAAACCCAATCGGATGGTTTGTCTAAAGCTTCAATTATGTCAGCTTCTTTCAACTCTTTGACTTTTTCATTCACTTTTTTTTCTAAAGGTATGGGTATTCTGCGATATGACTGATTTATAGGCTTTATTGATGAGTCAATAGGTATAATAAGTTTGACACCTTTTATTTTTGGGAAGACTTTTCCATCATATTCCTTGATTTCATTTACAGGTGTTGCTACTCTGTCGTTGGCAGTTGCATTTAACCCTACACGAAGTACTCCCATATTCTTTGCTGTCACCTTACCCAATAGATTTCTTGGTCCATCTTTTGCTACGTAGAATGTCGCTTTACTCGTTACATTGTTAACTTCAATGATTGCTTCAAATGAGCCAAGTATAGTCAGTGCTTTCTGGCCTGCATATGCCATGAATTTCCTATCGGGAGTTTTTGTTTGACACAATACTTTAACTTTGTTTTGTTTAAGATTTTCCCACGCTGTATCGCTCAAAATATTGCATTTGCTTCCTGAGTCAATTATCATTTCGGTGTTTACACCTCCAATGTTACAGATTATGACTTCATCATCGTCATTTATATTGAATATATAGTCTACACTTTCTTGATCCTTAGTTTTATATTGTTTTCTTTTATCATTGTAGGGTGGTACATCAGATTTCCTTTTTGTTGCTTTGGTTCGGCATTGTGAACGAAAATGCCCTAAAAATCCACACTTCAAACACTTTATCTCTAGCAGCACACATTTCATAATCGCTTTGATGCTTTAAACTTCCACAACGAGTACATGCTTTTAAATTTGTTCTTTTATCTTTAGTTTCAATTCGGTTTACCGAGACCGCTGTTTGTGACAGTTTATTTGGATCATAAATCATGAGCTGCCTCTGAACAGCTTCCCATGCGTTAGCTTCTGCTATAATTTTTTCAAGTGTCACGTCATCTCCCATTGTTAAAATCTTTTTTCTCAAATCATTTGACGCACATTTTTCCACAATTTGATCTATCAGATCATCTTCAATTTTGTTGAACTTACACTTAGCTGCTTGGTGACGCAGTCTCACAACAAATTTTTCAAATTTCTCGTCCGCTTCTTGCTTTATAGATCTAAACAAATGTCTCTCATACACTCTACTCTGCTTTGGAGTGAAGTATTCATCCAGCTTTTCAAGCGCTGTTTTGTAAAGCTCAGCACCAGTCACTTCAGCTCCTGGTGTGTTTTAGAAAATCTCTTGCAGCGATAGGCCACCCATATGTAGCAACGTGGCTCTTTGTCTCTCGGGATCCACAATGTTTGCTGCGATAAGGTACATTCCAAGTGCTCGTTTCCATTTTTCCCAGCGTAAACCCACCGACGCAATATCTCCATCGCAGTCAAACGCTTCCAGCGAGGGAATTTGAGTCATTCCTGTACATAACAGTTCAAAATTAATTTTAATTTTTTCTGTTTTTTTTTTCCTCTAGGCCCCGCTCATTTGCCGAACTGCCTGTAGTTAGTGGTACCTACTGTCGATAAACAGTTTACCCATAGTACTATTCAGACGTTTCGCTATTTCCATGTGATGACTTGCAATTTAATGCGCTTTTTTTCCTTTTTTTTTTATTTATTTATTTAGGCACTGATGATAAATTGAGCAATGCTCACTTTCATCTGCCCATTCATAATCCGTTAATCTCCCGGTATTACTCAACTACCCATGCTCTCTGGTTTTGCTGTTTGAGGTTATGTGGTGCCAGACACCACTCAGTTTTCCTCAGTTTAGCATAATTCCCTTACCTATACTTTTCTATTGTTTCTTGAAGTTTCAAATGATTCACCTCGTCGCCAATTGTAGCATCCAAGCTTCGGGGTAATAAAGGGTAAACAATTAATGAGACGAATGATGCACTTTTACTGACTACTCGTGGCTTGGGCTTCGGCTCGACTGCTGTCGCTAGACTGAGTCTCGCGCCAGCCCTCGCGCCGCTGCCTCGCGCGCATGTCTTTATTGTAACTACATGCTACAATGGCTACAGGAAATAAAATGAATATAATTGGTAAAAACTTGTGAACATGACGTGGCTTGGCCAAAATCAGTCAGACGAGTGCTGGCTAGAGAAACGCGTCTCTTTTCTTTCTCGACTAACCAACAAACAATGCCCTCTACAGGAAACAGAAATAATTAAACTTAACAACGAACAAGTTCAGTACTGTCGTACCACGTAAGCCCCGTCTAGTTTCTCAAATTGGAGCAGGGCAATGAAACTAATTTCATTAATTAAGATTCGGCACCCACGCTAATGGCACGTGTTACTTAAATAGCTATTAGCATTTTCTCAACAACTAATTGCGTTCATTGAGAACTGAACCCACCGATTTTCTTTCTTGCCGATGCAGATCAAGCCTCATCGACTCCGTTCTCTTGTGCTGTCCACTCCACGCATCCGCGCTATTATTACAGCAATACGCGACTGGGCCGTAAAAAAGCTCTCACAGCGTAGATGTAAAAAAATTAGAGAAAAAAATGAAACCATTAGAAAGAAAATATATATAACACTGATTTATAAGAAAAAGATATGTAATAAAATACCATTAAAAAACCTTAAAACAGCACATCCTATTCCAACCATAAAATACCAAAATGCAAATAAAATTTATCTCATTTTTCTGACTAGTGTTTTTACAGCATTTTGATTAGACGAGTTTTTCATCGTGGTATTTTACCAGAAATACTTCTTTTAACGCCGTTTTATGTTTTTTTCCATCATTCGTATTTTTTTCATAAGCAACGGTTATATGGCTATTTATAAAACAGCTGATATATTTGATGTGCCTACTGTTTCCATAGAATAACTAATATTACATCACGAACTGCTTATTTATTCTAATAACTCTCTCTGTAACTTACTTCTATTTATTTAACAAAGTGCATATTATTATTGTATCTTAATTATTTATACAATTTCGAGTTCTTTCTTCATAATTTAAAGCTGGAAGAGTGTGTAAATTTAATACAACATGAATGGTTGTATATTTCAAGAATCTATTAGGGTTCCAATTGATATTAACGAACAGTCTACTTTGTTAAAGGTTTTTATCTTCACTTTTTTACAATGAACTTCTCTATGCTTTCATTATTACTTTTCAAAAATGATCAACTTATTTAAAAACCTAGATACAAAATAATTTTATTTTTTTATAATCATCGCAGCGAAATTATGTAAAATTTACAATGTTAATAATTTAAAATTAATACATTTTTTACATAAATTACTACATTCAAAAGTATTTTTAATGCGACAAGAAATGTTAATTTTATATTGACTTTTAATCGTTAGGGAATTTATTTTCAATGTTATAACTACCCATAAAGTAAAATATATTTTTAATTTATACGACTAAAAATAATTTCTTTTACAATAATTGTTTCTGTAAAAGAAATTCCATAAGGTTAAGTCTAATGAAAAATAAAAAATAAATAAAAGTTATAAAATTTTAGTAATTTTTTATATAATTAATTTGCTTTTTCTAAATGAGCAAGATGAAAATAATATGTAAAAGTATAATGGATTATTATACTTTTGCTTTTAACAAAATTTATAATAAAAAATTTCTATCTGAAAAATCAAGCTAAATTCGACTGGAAATCAAGCTTGATTTGACAGGAAATCTAGCTCAATTGAAATTTTTTAACTGAAAATTCAGCTTGACTTTCAACTAACTAACTGGATTTTTTATTTAAAAATCTGATATTTCGCAATATTTAAAAATTCAAAAATCGTTTAAAAAATTGTGAAAAAATACACACATGTTCTAGAGTTAATTTTGAACACTTTCCAGCCACAATTTTGTGTGCTTGAAGTTTTTATGGTCCAATCTTCATCACGTTTACTTTCAATTAGGTTACTTTCAATAGGTTTCAAGCCCACAATATTTCTTATGAGTATAAAAACTCACCTAAACGAAATACCGTGAAAAAAACATCCCTCGTCGGATGCCGTGAAGAAAAACACACCTCATTGAAACGCTGTGAAAAAACACACCTCATGGAAATGCCGCGAAGAAAAACACACCTCTTTGAAAGACCAACATATTTTCGACGTGATTCATTAAATCGTGATTCGATGAGATGTGTTTTTCTTCACGACATTTCGATGATGTGTGTTTTTCTTCACGGAATTTTAACAAGATGTGCTTTTCTTCACAGCGTTTCGATGAGGTCTGTTTTTCTTCATGGCATCCGACGAGATGTGTTTTTCTTGCGGCATTTTACAAAAAGTTTTTGTTTCATAGCGTTTTTCACTGTGTTTTTACTTTTAATCAGCATCGATTTACACAAAAATAACGAAATTTTAAATAAAATCCTTTTTATTAAACCACCTATAACTTTTGACTTGTTGATTCTATCAAAAATCTGACTTCGAATTCAAAATATTCGTTAAATTTTGCGTAGAATATGCTTACTTGCAAGCTCTTCAGACCCAATTTCAGCCAAAATACAACGGTTCAGAAAAGTATCACAATAATGTATCCTTTTTGGACTTTTTGTTTGATACAAGTAAGACCTGTTGTACCTATTGTATCTTAAGTAAGTGATTATAACAATTGGACAAGTAGTCAATGTACTGTAATTTCAGTGTATCTCTCTTTCGGAATTCACAATATTCCCCTTAATACACTTCCCCTAAATAGGAATCTTCTTTAATCGCATTAAATAAATAAACAGACAAATAAATAAATAATACAATTTGCAATAAAACATCATGTTTTTTATACAGGGTGTCCCAAAAGTATAGAAACCTCCGAAAAGCGGCCAAAATAAGCGGGAAAAAAAATTGGATGACCCCATATTCGACGTATTTTTTCACGGGGAATCCAATGGTGACCTCGGATTTGACCTTGAACATAACCTCAAAGCTGCAGCGACTCAAAAATCAATTTTTCAAATGTAACCCCCATTTTTTATTGCAGATTTGAAAAGAGCGGAAAATTTCACGTCAAAATGTATGTTTTGTTTTGTTTTTTTTTTTTAAACACCATTTTAAGGGCGCTACAGGCTCAAATAAAACCCCGATTTTACCTAAAATTAAGCTCAGAAGAACTTCATTTTCTAACTGTAGCGCCCCCAAAAATGATATTGGAAAAAAACACAAGGACCTATTCGAACGTAAAATTTTTCGCTCTTTCGTGCTTTCAGTTTTAATAGAAATCGATTTATTAAATACTAAAGACTAAGGTAACACAAAAATAGTTTAGTTTGAATCAGGCAATGGCCTGTGATGATAAGAAAAACGATTAGCTAGGTCGGCTTCTGCCGAATATGATGTTCGCGCGCACTATTATAATCTCCGCGAGCCTTTGCCCCACTCAGCATAGGAAGAGAGAGAGAGAGAAAGAGAGATTAATTTTAATTCGAGCAAGTACTTACCATCGGCTGTCAGCCTATTCGGATGACTCGCTTGGCACCCCCGCAAACGAAAGGCACTTGCATCCGCGCACTGCAGCTGCACAAATTACCGTAACTCGACTTATCAACCCTAATTCGTAATCGCGAAGTTACAATACAATATCAAGGCAATGCCAGACAACGTGAAGCAATCGGTAACAAAGCCGGTAACAATCTCGGCTCGCACGCCTGTACATTCTAGGCGTGAGCCCCGAAATTATCTCTCTCTCTCTCTTCCCTCCTCGTCGCACACTAGTAGCGCCGCGGCCCGTCAGCCGACGATTTGTCGTGATCAAATGAAAATAAATATGCGACTTCTTATTTATAATCAAATAAAATTAATATGAATTGCCGGGAGAGAGCATAACGAATAATATATTCGTTACAATATCAATGTTGTCCTTCTAATAGTAAATATTTATTGTCCATCTCATACCAATGTCTAGTATAAGGTTCAGTATTTTTTTACGCTTGATTACAGCATTTTCTTGTATTGATCGAAGTTTTTCTATCAATAATACCCTAGGTACTACAACATCTTTCAATCTGCTTAAAATATTATTCAAATTCTTTCTAAGAATTGTGGTTTGGTTTGCATATCTGGTAAAATCTGAGCAGATTACATTAGCGGATTTTACCGTAGCCAGACAAATAAATAAATAAAAAGTTCCGATTGATTTTGTACTTAGCTACTAATATACTAAGAGATCTTTGCTGCTGGCTTCGTTGATCGAGTTCTCGTTGGCTAGATCTCTTGCAAATTAAAGAGACATATGCATTCCAGCAAAAAACTGCATGGCTTTTTCTGCTAATCAAGAATAAATGAGTGAGGACATTAAATAATTTTTTATCTTGAAACCCATCCTCAATCACTGCATGTTTGTAGTTTTCTGGGTCTTTCCAGAAACTGCACCAACCACCACAATTATCGGAGATACTAAAACAATAATTAGAAATATTCTTCAAAGCATCAGACATCATGAGAGTCCACCGTGAGAGAGCGATAGTCGTCCGCCTTGCGTCGGTTATAGCATGCCAGACTTTGCTCGTGGCTGCAACAAGTCTCCAAAGTATGAAGGCATCAAGCATCTTCATACTGCACGAGGATACCACTAGCCCGCTTAACCTGTCACTGCTACTTCCACCTGCGCAGTAACGACTTTTCCAAAAGTGTTGGCCAATAAGAAAGGAGAAGCCTATTCCAAATCCCGTGATTCTTGATATGCGCATATGCATTAGAGTGGAGCGAAAAATACCTTTTCTGGAAAATCGCTTTTTTTCTACGCGTATTACAAGAAGTTTCCAGGTATATACATACTTTTGCCGCACCTTGTATACAAAAACATTTTACTTCCTCTCATTCTACATAAAAAGACAAATATTTCATTTTTTATTCGTCTCAGTACGACCATTAGAACCGGAGATAATATTAGTGAAAAATTGTGGTAATTGAACGATATATGGACGCAGCAGTCTGAGGTTCGAGGCATTGACCTCATGCAATATCGTTATTTTAACTATTAATTATATTAATATCTCCTGTTCTAATGGTCGCATTGAGATGAATAAAAAAAGGAAATCTTTGTCTTTTCGTATAGAACGAGATAATTTTAACGTCAAATTATTTGATAAGTTAAAATTAGACAGGATATAATTTACAAATAGCAGAGCCAATGTGATAAAACGGTCAGTTATAAAGCTGAATAGTGGAAAAAATTTATAGCACTCTAGCCTCTCAAAATAATATGAAAACAATTTTATCTTGAATTTTTTGTAGATTGAAAATTAAAATACTTGATAAAAAACATTTTTGATTTTCTTATATTTTAGACATCAGAGCCGATACGTGTTTCTAAATTTTATACTGAAAGCAAGCATGGAAAATTTATCAGTTATTTATATGAAGATACAAAAACCCTCTATGATGCTTTTCGTAAAGGTGCGAAAGAATCAAGTAAGTAAATTTAAAAGGATGATAGTATATTTATGTGGCATTTCACGTCAAAACTTCCTGCGCGGACACGAGCGGTATTATTCAGTCGAATCGTAAAATTTCTAACTCACTGTAAAAGTACCTCGATGCACCCAGAAGGAAAAATTAACCCATCATTTCGATGAAAAATTTCCTCAACTTTCCGATGCAGAGGTCAGATTTTCCGAATTTTCCAATTTTCTTCGGAAAAATCGCCAGGAAACCTTTAAAGCTGATTTTCTTAAAAACTTCATTTTTAAGATTTTTCTAAATAGTCTAAATCGAAAGATTAAGAAATTTACCATTGGAATAGCTACTATTTAGAGAGTACAACAAATTTTTTCACGAGCTACAAGGAGAAAGAGTTTTTTCACGAAACGTCGAGCATGATATTGATGCGTCATAAGAGAGCGCGCGCTCCGCCGTTCCTGCACACTAAAACATGATACGACGCCGCTCATGGTTTTCGATGCTTTCAACATTACGCATTGTTATGCGCGCACCGCCTTTTGTCGTGCAAATTCAAAAGTTGAAATCGGTATGCAAGTGCAATCAAGTCGACAGCAAAATGATGATTGCCGGTGAAATGAATGTCATCAAGTTGATGCTTCGTTAATCAGTTGGAAATTAAAACACTTATGTTACAAGTTTTATGGTAAGTACGACATGATGCTAATTTTGTATATTCATCGAATTATCAGGGAAATTTGTTTGTAACTATTGCAATTAGAATGAGGAGTTTCTTATAACCTGGTTATTAAAAAACCCTATAACACAAAGTTATAGATTCCAGTGTCAATAAAATATGAGAATTATTAATGACTTTTGCTAAGAGATTCGATCAATGATATAGGCACTATAAATGAATATAAAGTATTGTAATTTATGTAAATAATAATCAACTTTTTAGAGATGATATTGAAAATCATTTGGCTCTTCGAAACTCTAAAAATGATGTGCCATGTCATACCAAGTCATACTTTCATGGGTGGAACATCAGTTTCAGATGAAACTAGTTGCATAGTATAATATGAGATTTGAGAGATGAGATAGTATAATATAATTGTACAGTATGTTTCGTATAAACCGTACACATCATTAATAGAATTCTGTCGCTTTGACCAAAGTAATAAGCGGACGATGTTTGCTGAAATTTTTTGAGTTGAGATTATAAAATTTTGAACATTGAAAATGTCATTATTAAACTTAAAACAATGTGGTCAGTTCCCAATATCATCGTTTCAAACCTCTAACATATGGTAAAATTGTCTCTACATTTTCTATGCATAAGTCATAGATTTTAAAAATGTTATTTTGTAATCAAAAACTGCAAGCCGTAATTGGATAATTTATCAGAAATTTGTGATGTCAACGGATGATTACACAGCTCTACAAAAAAAAAAAAATTTTCAAATCCACCGACCGGACCTAGTGGACTTTATGTTTTTGGGGTCGCTGAATCCGAATCCGGGGTCGGTTTTTCAAGGTTGGCTCATTTTAGAGGTCATTTGAAGGTCAAATAATTGGAAAAAGGTAAAAAATCTGAAAAAATTCATACATGGGTTTTTGAGGATGCCGAATCCAAATCCGAGGTCGGATGACCTTCAGGAGGTCAATTTCAAGGTCATTTGAAGGTCAAACTACAAGAATTCAATGAAAATATCCGAAAAAATCACCCTTATGTTTTGAGGGTCGCTCATTCTAAATCAGAGGTCATTTTGACTGTATCCGGCCTTGTAAAGGTCATTTGAAGGTCATTTTAGGGTCAGATCACGAAAAAAGCTTTAAAAAATCTGAAAATACTCATTCAGAGGTTTTTAAGGATGCTGAACTCAAATCTGAAGTCAGATGACCTCTATGAAGTCACCTTCAAGGTCATTTAAACTTTAAATTAATACAAGGAAGTAAAAAATTAAGAAAATATTTTTAATTTTGCATGCGTTTTTACTTTTTTTCGCAATGCATCTTTTTTTCTTCAAACGAACGGCGTAATGGTTTTCGTTTGCGTTTTTTGCCTTTCTCATTTTGAGCAGTAATCAGCCATCATCAAAACATCCTATCTACCTAATTGATACCACTGCTCCATACTTTTCATGTCTTGATAGAATCGTTTTCCATGCTCGTCACTAAAATCACCACAGTTATCCGGAAACTCATCTGAATGGTTATGTAAGAAATGCAGTTTATAAGACATATTACATTTCATTTCCCCGACTTCAAACTTATCGAGGTAGCAGGTAAAGACTAGAAGAGAAAAAAGTGTGTCAGAATGAGAGTAAGTTAACAGAACCGCATATTTCTCCATATCAATATCACGAACGAAAACGGTGCATTAATATGAAAAAATATGCCGATTTGTCAATTCACTCCCCATGCCGATCCACCTGGCTCATCTCTACTTTGTCATAAGGATATACTTATAGTGAATTTATTTTTACACTCTCAGACATTGTTTCACAAAATTTTAAAATGCATTCGTTTTAATCGAAGAAAAATCCATTGATGAAGAATTTTTCAAATTTTGTGACCCAATTCTATAGTAAAAAATAAAATAGCCTATATTATATTCACATATAAAGAAGTCCTATAAAAAATTTACCTGAAGCTATGTCAACAAAATTAAGGTAAATTTTATAATAACGGAAGTAAAAATTGATTGTTAAAAAATAAAGAGATTTTTTTGGTTGCTTTACTGCGGGGAAATAGCTTAGAAAAAATGTATTATATTTATTGAGTAGGGAAAAAAGCAGCTCTATCCCAGAATGTGAGCTCGCTAAATGTCTCAGACTAAAAAATTAATTCAGTTTTAAAAAACTAAGCACAAACTTCTTCCAATATTTTATCGCATTAAATAAATTTAACATTGAAATGACCTTGAAGGTGACTTCATAGAGGTCATCTGACTTCAGATTTGAGTTCAGCATCCTTAAAAACCTGAGAATGAGTATTTTCAGATTTTTTAAAGCTTTTTTCGTGATCTGACCCTAAAATAACCTTCAAATGACCTTTACAAGGCCGGATTCAGTCAAAATGACCTCTGATTTAGAATGAGCGACCCTCAAAACAAAAGGGTGATTTTTTCGGATATTTTCATTGAATTCTTGTAGTTTGACCTTCAAATGACCTTGAAATTGACCTCCTAAAGGTCATCCGACCTCGGATTTGGATTCGGCATCCTCAAAAACCCATGTATGAATTTTTTCAGATTTTTTACCTTTTTCCTATTATTTGACCTTCAAATGACCTCTAAAATGAGCCAACCTTGAAAAACCGACCCCGGATTCGGATTCAGCGACCCCAAAAACATAAAGTCCACTAGGTCCGGTCGGTGGATTTGAAAATTTTTTTTTTTTTGTAGAGCTGTGTTAAGAATTTAAGAGACTACTCATCTGACTTTTTTGAAAACGTTCACTCATTAAACAGAATTCTGGCTGACGAAAATTTAGATCTAATAAACATGGACCCGGCATTCGAGTTCCAAGGTTCCCGAATATAGATTCTGATACCTTGACTCGAGCCGATGTTCATCGTTGATTGTGTGTTCACTCATTAGACAGAATGCTAGCTAATAAAAATTTAAATTTGAAAGACAACAACCACACTTGTCTATCTCCAAGGTTCCAGAATAAAAACTCTGGTACCCTGACTGATTGATTGATTGAACAAATTTTATTATGCCAAGGTCATTGAGGCCGAATGGCAAGTGGCAAGTCAACAATACAATTTTAAATTTTAAATTTACAAAATGCAGCAAAAACTTAGCGATAATAATAATCAGTAATGCAAGAGCTGAATATAAACAATAACAAAAGTAGTAAAGTTAACTTCAACTTAAAACTATTCTTAGATTCTAATAACTAGTAACATGAAACAAAAATAAAAAATAAAAATTTACAACGACGCATGACAAGCAGACAATGATCAAGCACTAAGTGAGCGTCTCATATGGTCTCGCAACAATGGCTTGAACAGTGGAAGCGAGCTAGCCGAGCGGATCCGCGCTGGAAGCGAATTCCACTCATTTGCTGTCTGGATGGCGAATCCCGTCTTATAAGTAGTGGTGTCAGCAAATGGAACCTCCAGTGTCCGAGCTCCACCAGCGAGCCGTGCAGATCTACGGATCAGATCATTAGGTTGATGGTAGAGATCTCTCAGATACTCTGGACGTGCGGTTGATATCATCTTGTAGGTGAACAAATTGAGCAGATAGGCGCGTTGATCAGATGAAGTAAGCCAATCGAGCCTGCGGTAGTAAGGCAACAATTTGGCATCTCTTCGCAGCTTAAAAATGTAACGTATACATGTATTGAGCAGTTTTTTGACTCAGTCGGTGGTAACTTTGATGTCGATGAAGGCGAGACAAGAATAATCGAAATGAGGCATAATGAACGTATCGACCAATATCTTCTTTATGTCAGACGGTACGAAGTATGTTGCAGAGCGCAGACGATGCAGTACCCCATAGACACACGACGAGATAGCACTGACATGATTCTTCCAGCTGAGGGAACGATACATCAACAGTCCAAGATTTTTGACACAGTCTTCGAAAGGGATCTCGGTGCCTTCGTGCACGATCCTTCTACAATGGTCCTACTGAATGCGCATCAAATTTCGATCGGAAGCAAACAGTATGGCCTTTGTCTTGGAGATGTTGAGCACCAAGCCATGATCATGCGCCCAGCTCGCAACGCAATGCGCCTTCTCATTGAGCTTAGCAATGGTAGAGTTGATCTCAGAGGGAACAAACTGTAGGTAGATTTGGAGGTCGTCTGCGAACATCATATGAGTGGCGGTGCAATGCCTAAATATACTCGTTAACGAATCAATATATACAGGAACAGGATGGGAGCAGGCGTGGATCCTTCCGGGACTCCGGATGTATATGCTCTAAAGTCAGTCAAGTTTCCGATGTCATCCATTACTGCTTGCGATCGCTGGGACAGGTATGAGTGAAGCAATGATAGAGCGTTGGATGACAA